AGGCCCCCCCCCCCCCCCCCCCCCCCCCCCCCCCTTTACACACACACAATTTAGCTACTGGTAGGGTCTTCTAATGTTTAGTCATGTTGTGAACTTTCTATATATCTCGCTGTTGTTTGCAACCTAAGAAATATATCATTTTACTCACCTTCGTCGGTCGTCATCATGATCAATTTTTTTGATTAAACTCGTCCAAGTTAGATTTGGTTTATATGTAAAACTGAAAATGATAAAGAAAAATTCACAATGTATCCTAATTATTTAGGGGGAAAACAACATTCGATATAGTTCTAAAAATAGCTCATGAAACATTGGTTATATTATATCCGAATGATGCAAGACAAAAAAATCATTTCAATTGCGATGGCAGTTCTTTTTCTATAGGTGAAAGTCACGATTGTCCAGACTTAAGTGATATCATCTTCACAATGTCAAGCTATTACGAACTTCTTACTTATACCTTCACTGCAATATAGTTACTATTCTTGTATCATAGAATACAGCCATTTGTATGGATTGTACTGTAAAAGTATGTTTATGAAGTTCGTAATAACTGACATTGTGAAGATGAAGTACTATGTGAAATCAAAGTTCTCGTTTAATAATAAGACTGTTTTCATATCAACCCGAACTTAGGGCATGTCCAAACTTAGCATAATATATTTTTGGTCTATAAGGCGAAATGCAAATCCAGATCATTTATTAACATTTCTGCTATATGACACACTGCAAAATATAGGTTCACCTGCGGCAATCAACACAAAATGGCAGATAACAACTACTTATTAGTACCGACGACCCGATGTCATTAAAGGGTCAAAATACGGACATAAGGTCTCATTGTAGACCGATACGTGTAGATTATATATATACATATATTACATGTACTACATATATTAATAGACTGGTATGAAAATAATATTATCAAAATCTACTTGCCTTGTTTAATCCTCTCATAACTCTAAAAGCCAACAGTCCCTTTTGTCTGGACTACAGTATGTCTAATGCAACTTTACTAAGCTTGACTAGATCGTCAGAATTCGTGGATGATAATGAATAAAGCGTATTTTCCGGAGAATCTATAAATAGTTACATTTACATACGTCATCTTAATCTTTCTTTTCCAGTCTCACTATATGAGAACACCTGCTACGAAAGAAGAGAAGTCTGGTAATCAGAGACTAATGGTATGTCTACCATTGTTTTGATGTAAATATATATGAATGTATTGGATTAGATTATCAAGAGTGCATAATTCTCGCATTATAGAAAAAAATAATATAAGGAACAATTTTAAATATATTTGAGCACGTATTTGAATCATTCGGCTCAACCTTCGCCCAACGTTCGTTAGTCTCCCATTAGTATCATTTTGTCCTGAAAATTATATCTGTGGTCTGTGGTCTGAGAAAGGGGTTGTCTATAGGCCCAGTTGACCTGTTTTGACGAAATTTTCTAAAAAATATGAATCCTTTGTTTCATGCTTAGTATTTTGATGTATTTCTTTCATTTTGATTTTTTTTTTCGGTGGGGGGTAGGGGAATAATCTTGTTTGTATATCTCGGCGGCAAAAAGTTTTTGATGCATTTTAATATTAAATTCTGTCCTTAATCTGCCAGTTATGCTCGCCAAGTGCAATAGTAAATAGCCTTGTATATTCGTATGATATCCACCGACGGATGAGATATATGAACAAAATAAGGTGCATAGGGCGCAATCAATAGCCTACATTTTGGCGTAAGGATTTATTTTTAGCATTCGCTAATGAATACGTATTTTAAGATAATAAAATGTAACATCCGTTTTTACAGGAACTCATTTTTCCTGTTTTTTATCGTTATCAAGAATATATGATTACTATGTAAGCTTCGTCATAAAGATTTAGATTATATATACAATATTGATACAAGTTTATCATTATGTAACCAATCCTTTGGTCAACCCCGTTTCACACTATAACCCATTTACAGTGTAAGTACATTCTCTCATCCTTTTTGCATTCGATTGTTTAAAAACATGACGAAGTTCGGGAAATCAACCAATCGAATGCATCTTTAGACACCATCTCAGTGGAATTCTGGGAAATTCACCACGTTCTACTCATTGGTTGTGTATTACATTCCATTTATTTGCCTATTACATCACTAGGGTCAATTTATATAGAAGGGTGTGTCAGATCATGGAACGAGTTTAATACGTTCGTATAAAGAAGGCCGTAGCGTAATTAACAACAGAACAAATGAAGTTATACGACCAAACTTAAGAAGTGTTTTTTTTTTTCTTCAGTTAGGCCTATGTATTTTGCCTCAATGGAAATGGAAAATCTGTTGTTGTACAGATTAAGTAATAGGCTAACATATACTTTTTTTTAAAAAAAAAGTATTCTGGCCAACTATACCAGGATGATAAGAACAATAGATGTACTTAGTGCGGATTTTGTGGTCAGAATAATTTCAGTTGACTTGAGAGTGGTAATAGATATTTTTCATCATATTGAGAGGGTACGATATTACTTATTAGTAAGATTTAGAAAATGCTTGTATCGTTGAGTGAATCTGTTTTTAATTTAAATTCATTACACTATGTCAAAATACAGGCTACAGATAACATTATTCAACAATCTGTTGAAGGTCAATAGTCATTATTTGATTCGAAATGGTTTGATTCTGTACAAAGCTGGATTCTCCTACGTTTTCACCAACAATCATTGTCTCACCAGGATGCTCACTTTGACTATGACTTTCTGTCCCTGGTGGTTGTGCTTCAGCAGTAGGTTGAATAGCATTGGTCATTTGTTGTTCGGGTATTATAGGTATTATAGACTCGCTGCTAGCTTGTTGATATTTAGCGCCATCTTGTTTTTCTGTAGTTTGATCTTTGCCAATTTCCAGTGTTTGGTTGGTTTGTTCGTCAGCATCAGGTTGCACATAGGTGAACTGATCATTAACTTCCGTTTGTTGATACAAGACACGCTGATGGTTTACTTCCGGATTTTCATAATTCACATGACCTTCACATTCTGCTTGCTGATAAATGACATTTTGACCATTGACTACAATGTAAGACTGTTGAGTTTGTTGAACGACGTCGTAATCCCCAACGGCAGTTTCTATTTGACCTTGACCTTGGTCTGCCAGAACAACTCCGCCAATAACCATGTTACCATTGTCATCCGTGGTAGCTTCATCTGGTAGATTGGACTCAATGAACCGAACAGCATTTTCATCAACTGTCTCGATTATTTCAACTGGTTGTCCGAACAAAACCGTCTCGTTCTCTTCTGGTTGTGGGTTTTGGAAGTTGGCGGGTAAATGAAATGTGATTGTATGGGAGGTAACTCCTTCCTCGCTTTCGGCTGATAAAGTTGTGCATTGTACGCCTCCACTGATTTCAGCAGTTTGTGGCACCCCTGTCTTTTCACCCTGTCCAATTGCATTTAGTGCAGAATAGATCAACTGAGCTGCTGACATTTCACCTGTCATGAGCCCCTCATAACAAGACAATTTGGCAAGATCCTCAGCACTAACTTGAGCTTCTCCAGATTTCATCGTTTGGACCAACATTTTCACTTGCGTCGATTCAGAATTTTCTGGAATCGCTAGGAGATCAACATCATGTGTGTCTGTTTGTGCAACCATTGTGGTTTTCCTTCTAATAGCTTTTGGTCGATTGACAATTCGGCCATTCTTGTGATCTTGAATATGGTTATCATAAGCACTTTTACTAACGGATTGAAAATTGCAGTCCTCACAGAAGAAGTTGCTGTCGCTTCCTGGATGTTTGCTACGAAGATGTGATTTCAGTGACACCGACTGAATGCAGGAATAAGGACAAAAACTACACTTATACTGTTTTTGTCCCGTGTGGCGCATCTTGTGTCGTCTCAAAGAATTGTGGTCACCGGTAGCATAGGCACATAGATCACATCTGAAAAAACAAACCAAAAACATAATAATGAAAGTGGCTTCTTGTAGGAACAGATTGATAATCAAAATCTTATATAATGGCATCGAAGTGTTCCAGAATAAAAACAAAATAACATTCAAAGTAAAAAAAGGCGATGATTTAAGAATATTGGGACAACATTTAGCAGTTGAACTATCTGGCTCCCGCGCATTAAGTGGTAAAAGTATGCGCAGACTAACGTAGTATAAATATCTGTAAAGTAATGTTATTGTTATTTTCTGTGATTTTATTCTTTCTAATCTTGTATATAATTCTTAGTTTAATGGGATCTATTGAAAATTAAACTTCTGTCTAAATGGGTTGCCAAAGTTATTATTATATAATCTAAAATCTGGCATTTTTTTTAAAAGTTCCGATTTTATCGTAAAAGGATTATTCCCTCTAGTGGTAAAAAATAGGATTTTACAATGTTACCATAATTTTGCCAAAGGCGGCATGATATTTTAAACAAATCTTGGTTAAACAGACACATACTCCCTTAATAAACATGCACCATTCAAAGTGGGAAAACATGTGAAACAGGAACTTACTTAAATGGTTTCTCTCCAGTATGGATTCTAGAATGTAAGTCCAGCATAGCCTTTCTCGTAGATGCATAGGGACACACGTTACATTTAAACTTTTTTTCGTTGCTGTGCACTTGATGTTGGTGATTTAAAAGACATTTTTTGTTCACAAAGTTTCGTTGACATGTAGGGCAGGTCATGTCTTTCTCTACCTTTTTCTGGTATTCGGAATGGACTTGTTGATGATTTTTCATCTGACTGTATTGTCGGAACCCTTTACCACAAATGTCACATGTGTATGGCCTAGAATCACTGTGGATTTCTTTATGCACGCGCAATTTATTCATTGTGTCCACTTTAAAACCACAAACATCACACGATATTAGATCTAGGTCAATGTCGTGTTTGCGGTGCAGATGAACTCGCAGCAATTGCCAGGAATCGAAGTGTTTCTCGCACTGGGTACAAGTAAATGCCTCGTTTGATGTGTTATGACAGGCAACATGGATATCGAGGTTTTCTTTGGTTGAAAAGCGCGCCAAACATCCATACAGATAACATTTATGTTTGAGTTCTTTATTGTTTGCGTTCTTCCGTTTCTTATTTTTCTTCTTTTTAGTGCTATTGATATAATAATCTTCTTTAAGTGCTCGTGGTGGTCGAATCTTTCGTCGAGAACGACCAGTCGGGTTTTCAGGAACCCAATCTTTATCATCGTCTTCAGACTCTTCAGAGGTGACTACTTCCTGTTTAATTTCACTTTTCTTCTTTCGACCAGGTTTTTTCCGCGGCTCCATTTGTGTTCCGACACTAACTTGTGCACTAACGTGTGTCGAAGTAGCCTCCAATTCTTCGATCTCCATATTGCTTTCAAGCTGCTCGTGACTCTCTACCATATGTTCTTTACAATCGTCGATACTGTTAAAACCAACACTACACTGGCCACAGACATACAGCAGTTTAGTCGTCAGTTGAGTATTGGGTGCCATGTCGGATGAAGATGTCAACGTGTATTGTTCTCCTTGTACTGTTCCCTCTCGACTTTCCAATTCCTGGCGGACTGCGGATTGAAGAGAACTTTCCACTCGTTGAGGACCTTCAGAACTATTGGGATCTTGTGAATGTGGTTCGTTCTTTATGCCTATCACCTGTACTTCGTCTATGTTGATAGCTTCTGGTTCTTCGAGCCTTTTAAAGGAATCAGTTTGTTTGTCGTTGTTGTTCTTTTGCTCGTCGTCTGCGTTCTGTTTTTCGGGGTTGTCAGGAACGGGAAACATGTGGAACTGTTTAATATGAGCCCCCATTTGCTGGGTTGTGGAACATGTAACATCACAGAATCTGCATTTATACGCTACCACCACATCCATAAACTGTTCCATGTTAACCTCGCTCGTTTCATCATTTTCTTCCATTCCGTAGAACTATCTGAAAATAGTGTCCAAAGATAAAATTATCAAAAGTCAAAAGAACAAGTTCGTGTGAAAGCACTGAAAAGTTCCACTCGTTCGGTTGAAAGTGGCATAAGTTGATCCGATATGGCGACTTGCGGTTCCTCAACAATTGTGGGAATGACAAGGAGTTAAGACTGTCGTCACTACTCCCAGGCAGTGGCGGCTGCAGATCTTTAAAATTGGTTTTGGGAGGGAGCCATCGATTTTTTATTCGAATCAATAGGGCTTAAATCTTACATATTATTCAAAATGAAAGAGTATTTTTTTCAATAGTATTAAAGTTTTACAATGAATTAATGCATATATTGCATTCTTGGACCTTTGGCCTTGGGCAGGGTGAGAGGGGGCGAGGGGTTCATCTTAAAGCAGAAACGTCGTATACATTAAAGGATTAGTTTCCGTTTATAAGCCATATAATACCCGAAAAATTACTGTTGTCTGACGCAACAAGGGAACTCACTCACACAATAGTCTCGACGCCATATTGCTTTTTGAGGAAAATGCATACAATTTTTCATTGATTTCAAATAACTGTGTTAATCTGAACATTGTTCGGGAACAAAACAAAAGAAGAAGACCATTTTCAACCATGCTTACCTTTTAAAAACCTTTGTAAGAAATATTATTCGTGCAAAACACTCTGGCGTGAAGGATAACATTTAACTTTTTAGATTCGATTATCCAGATTTTCATGAACATGCTGATCATCCCGTGTTACTCGTAACAACTCGAGTCGCGGTAAGACGTGCAGTGCTGTCGCAAATCCTTTCAAAAAATCATGAATGAATTCTTTACAGGACAATTTTGCGATAATTTCTGATATTCAACATTTCCGAACTTTCATTTTCTGCATTCCAATGAGGCATACAATTTATTTATTTTTGTTGTTGTTGAACATTGAGAAAAACGACAGGTAACAAATTGTGTGTAGTAGATTCGTTATTGAATGTTTTGGTTTTGTAGTGTAGGCTAATATTTTAATCTTTTTCCGACTTTTCCGTCCTTGATTTACGTTTTCTAATATCAGGGCTTAAATACTTGTCACTCAATTTCCATCTCATCACTTTGTCCTATCAGTTTTGGACTTTATTTGATTAAATTTTTTATTCATTTTCTTACTCTTCATAAACTTCCAAGTTCCACCTAGGCCCTACTCCCCTAGGCTAGGCTAACGCCAAGTGCAGTGGGCGAGTGGCACTACTTATTCTACAACTTGTTACTTTTCAATCACCCTAATCTCTACTGTGCCAATCATAGAGTCTATGACTATGCCAGTGCCACTCTGTCTACAGCTTTTATCAGAGTAGATTTTTGCCAATCATTTTTAGAGTCCAGTAAGAATTTAAATATCAACTACAAAATACTAATGCTTTTGCTTTGGGTTGATGAATATGGAACCAGGCACTGGAAAAAGTTATTAGTCTATTTGTAAATATGATTTTACAGAGGCATTTTCATGTATTAGTATCAAATCAAGCATACTATTTGATTTGATTTGATTGGTGTTTCTAATGAATTATCATGTATTCTTAATCAAATCATTTTGTTCTTATTGTATATAATTATGGTTATTTGTTAATATTTTAGTTGAGTATAAAGTATGGGTTAGAGCCTCATTATGATATCTAGAGAGAAGAAAGTATGTATAGGAGCTGTAGCTGGTTTGGTAACAGCTATAATAGGTGTTGTTTTAATACCAGTTGTTGATTATATTGTTAAAGAACAAGTTAAAGAGGTAAGGTTAATTAACTTATTAACTAATTATGATGTTTAATGCATCAATTTAATAAATTGACATACCAGTAATACCCAGGGGTATTGGCCCCATTTTAATTAGTGTGATTCACTAAAATTCTGGCTACCAGAGATTTTACTTATTCAAATCTTCAATTGATGATCCATAATCATTTCTAGCAGAGTCGACATGGATAATGAAGAAAGATAATGTATTCATAGGTCACCAGATTGTTAAACATTGTTTGAGATAAGGTTTTGCATGTTATAGACTTACTCCAATGTATAGATAAAAATTGTTTGCTTATAATTTATGTTAGTTTGCTTTAATTAGCTTAATAAATTTTCAAAAGAAGTTACAATAAATACAATGTAATTACAAAAACATTTCATGGTAATTTCAGAAAGTGACCCTAGTCAATGGAAGTTATCTGTATGATGTATGGAAGGAACCTCCTATGCCGATATACCTACAAGTTTACATGTTTAATCTCACCAATCCTAAAGAAGTAAAGAAAGGACAAAAACCATATGTTGTTGAAAAGGGCCCATATACTTATAGGTACTGTTATTTCTTTATTATTCATATCATAGTACCTTTAACCAATTACCCATCCTTTTTTTTTATAAACAATATTTTATTAAGACATTAAAGGGATTGGGGAACAGGCTTATACCTATATAACCCCTCTCCATGACAGGAAAGAAGTGTATGGACGATCAAATAAAAAAACATAAGCCAAAGCCCCTTGTTCTACAGGCTGTGCACATTAAAGATAACTCAAAAGTTGGAAATGAAAAAATGAAATGCAAACTTTTCTTTATTACACACTCCTTGGTGATTGCACATCCTAATTAGCCCAAACAGTTGCAGAAAAAAACCATTTCATATGAACCACTGACCCGCTTATAAAATCATTTTTTTCCAATATTAGAGGTAACAGCCATATTCTATATAACAAACCACAGAGATGCTTGAAAAATTTGACATGTTTTCTGACATTGTCATTTCCCCATTTGTGATATAATCTTTCCAACCAGACCAGAAATATTATTGTTAAGCTAATGATACATGACCATAAAGAAAATGAAAATTTGAAAAAAATTATTTATATTTCAGAGAAGAAAGAATCAAATTTGATATAGTGTTTAATGATAATGGTACAGTATCATATCGTCAAAAACGATTGTTTACGTTCATCAGAGAAATGTCAGTAGGAGATGATGAGGTGGATATGATTACTACTGTTAACCCAGCTTTATTGGTACGTTTTAAAAACCATAGAGATGATGATGACTATGATTATATATTGATGTAAATGAAGAACAAACCAGACGATAAATTAAAACCCTGGGGTAATGTTATAACACAAACATAAGATGAATAAGATGATCATGTTTACCCCTCTCCCTGTTAACACAATTTGTTTTGCTTCAACACTATTCTATTCATGCACTCATTTTTTCAGCTTTATCAGCTCTAAGCTTTAAATTCCAAGCTGTAGAGACCTGAAACATTGCTCAATTTGAGCTCCACCAAATTTCTTTTCGCCTTCAATCATTGTAGATGTGGATTTGTATTATTTTTCTTATTCTTTTAAACTCTTACATCTTGTGCAGCACACAATTTCTGAACCAGTCTAATAATAAAGTATTGTAGCCACAGCAAAAGCTTGAAAAAATGAGAATCATTACCATGCCTGGAAAATATTAATTATTAAAGAACCTTCTATATTTCAGGCATTAATTGAAGGTATTGGTATATTTGGAGAATTTGTAAAGAAAATTATTGTTAATATAGTTGGAGCACAGGAAGATATATTTATAACCCGTACCATCAAGGAATTAGTATGGGGTTATGTAGATCCTTCATTAAAACTAGCACATTCCTTACTACCATTTCTCATCTATACAGACTTTATAGGTTATTTTATGAATGTAAGTATGATTCTTTATACTATGCCTACTGTTCATTTCATTATGTTCATAAATAACATTTTACTGATTATATTTACTAAACATGAATTGTAACATCAGCTTCATTACAGTACTGATAGTCTTAAAATGACTTTGAATTGCTACATCATTTAATCAATGATGCTATTCATAACTTTTATTCAACATACTTCATACGTCGTTATGCTATACAATTTAAACTATTCACATAAGAAATTGCTCCCCAAAATTTTAAACTGCTATGCACTTTTGGCCCATAGAGAAAAAAACTGCTAAGCAATTAAAAAAAGTAATTTGTACCCTGGAATATAAATACTCTTTCAACCAAACTTTGCACGACAGCTAGTATTCCTGCTCTTATAAAACTAAACAATAAAATTACTGATATACTGAAGAAAAAAGTAAGTTGTATTATGTTTGAGTTCAAATAAGAAGGCCATGACCTTGATGTTTTGAAGCAGTTAAATGAAATGTTTTTGTTTCATTGTAGAAAAACAATACTGATGATGGGGTCTATACTGTATACACTGGTAAACATAATATAGATTTACTGGGAACTATAGATAGATACAATGGATCCAAGTAAGTACTAACATGCAAATAAAATGAATCGAGATTACTGTTCTGAAATTCTTCAGAACTTGATCTTCAAATTTTGAAACTGAAACAGAAATAATTAGTTTTATGTACAAATATAAAAAACAGTTTTATCTAATCCTTACTCACTCCGAGAGAAAATGGTTGTAGGTGCACTTAAGTAAAATGATAATCCATTGAAGTGAATAATTTTCAGGTATTTAAACTTTTGGAGCACACCCTGGGCTAATTTAATTAATGGCTCTGGTATGTAGTAATGTTTTTTTCTAATAACTGTATAAGTAATATCTATTGTCAGTCCAAATATAACAATGTTTTATCAAAGATTATTATTTTCTATATCTTTAAAAACTTACAATGTTATATTATTAATAAATCAGCAATTATCAACCTTAAATTTACAATCTAACTTTTTTCTTCTAGATGGAACAATCAATAAGCCATTTCTGGAAGACCAAAAATATCTATATTTCTTTTCTTCTGATATTTGTAGGTAGGTTATTTTACATTATTAAAAAAGCTTTTATTACCTTCCTTCAAAAGAGGTTTACGACTTCGATGTCATTTTTAAAACTTAGTGGTAAAAAGTCAAAAAATTTCATATAATAGAATAAAAGTTTGAAAAACATTGCATTGAATTTGAAAAAAATCACAAAAGAAGGATAAGTGAAAATGTGGAAAAACTATTTTGGGCAAAATATCTGTAAGATTTTTCTTTTTTTACAAGAAATATGATTGGACTCAGGTTTTTTTGTGTGATTTGTCCATACATGTGTAATCTACCGATGTTGTCGGGTTTCTATCGCTTTTGCATGTTGTCTACCGCTTTACCGGCGGGATACCCGATTCTACCGATTTTTTTTTTTCCTGATCAAATTTTCACGGGACCTACCGTTTTCAATGTTCAAATTCTCTACCATAAATCAACAAAATATCTATCATCACTTGTATCTTAATTGCCGGTAACACGCGTTTATCTCATCACATAATAATATTATCATTGCCTGATTAATTAATCCCCCAATTAAGATGGTAATTTGATTGAGTCATGACACACTTTTTATAACAACATCTGGTAGATTCTACTTTAGATTTTATAATAAATTTTACGGTAGCCCTACTTTTACTAAAAAACGTCAGTGTCAATCTGCGAGATCTATAATAGGCCTATATAACATAGACGTCGTTTCAGAATTATTTTTCATTATCGGTAGATTATCATACGCGACTGGATGTCTAATTCTTATGTAAACTCAAACTTTGTTTCATAAAATCGTTTTGTAATTTTACTGTAGCCTGTAAACATTCATTTGATTGCCATCATAACGGGCATACTTATTACAAGTCTTTCCATTCTGAAGAACGTCAAAATGGAAGCGGAAAATTCAGTTCAATACTTTGTGAGAGTGTTGCAGGAAAAGTATTTAATGATCGCACTGGAGATATTTATGATGTCGAATTACACCTTTGGAAAAAGTAACATTGCCAGTACATATTATTTACTAAATATTGCTTTCAAAACATACTGATTTTTAATGTGGTATTACATGTATGATGTAGGCCTATAGCCACCGGTACCATTTAATTTAGAGGGCTGGGATCATGCTTGCTTTCTTGTTTTCAAACATCATTTCACCTTGACATTATTTTTGATTCAATCAATACTGAAGAATGATAATACCAAATTTTTTTTGGGCCCCTAAATTTGAAATATCAGGCACTATTTCCAGAATTATCCATAATTATAGGTTGTTAATTTTAACTATGTCATGTAGGCCTATGATCAATTTAATTAATTTACATGGCTTAAAGCTTATTTGAAAAAAAAAAAGAAAAAAACAATCAATTTGAAGTTTGAAATCACGAAGTTACGCGCTTTGGAGAAATCTCCCGACTTTTCACCCGATCTCCAGATTTTTCAAGACAAATCTCCAGATTTTTTTTCCTGACCTGTACACATGTATGGATTTGTCAATATCATTTTATATATTTCAGAGCAGCATATGGCGAATATACATCTAATACTAAAACTAAACATGGTATCAAACTACATCGATATACTGGCACTGCTACAGAATTAGCCAACAAGACAATAAACCCTGACAATGCAGGATTCTGTACCAAACGATCAGGATGCCTTGGAACTGGACTGTTAGATCTCAGTATCTGTACTAATGGTAAGATATTAACAGTTTCTGTGTATGTCATACATTGTCTCTTCAACTAAAACTATTTCAATCAATCGGGACCAAAGAAAGATATCAGATTACGCAGAATCTCAAGGTACCCAGATAGTTGGATATCACAGAGTCTACTGTACATTTTCTTCACTGTTGTGTGCAAACTTCGAAGTAATAGATATTCAAGATGTCACATGGTTTTCAAACCTGCCAATCAACAAGCTTCTACATATGTTTTGCTTTGTAAATCTGAAGTTCTTACAGAAAAAACTTGTGAATTGAGTAATGGCTACCCCTCTAGTATGAGAAATGTTTGGAATGATAAATTTTATAACTGTTTGTTCATAGCAAAAGTCTTGGGTCAATTGTAAAGTCATAGATAATAAATGACAAGAAAGCTGACAGAAAACTATCACTATTGAATTTCTACCCTAACTACCCATCTCTGTTTATCTCCATGACCTTTAATATCCCTTTATTTTGTCTTTACAGTGGATCATTTCCCAATCCCTACTGTCATGTCATTCCCACATTTTTATATGGCTGATGAGAAGTTTATACAAGGTGTTTATGGAATGAGTCCTAGTAAAGATAAACATGAAACAACAGTAGATGTTGATCCAGTAAGTATACATGTAGTTGGTAATTGATTACATTAAACAATATTAACTATGTAGACTCTCTGAAAGGAGGTAAAGATTAAATACAGATGGCCCTTATTTCAAGAGATTATTATTTATTACTGCCATTATTTTCTTCCTGCTAATAATTGCTTTAATCGACAGTATTCTAACGCAGGTATTGTAAAATAAAGCATTTGTTAATGACATGGAAAAAGCGTCTAGTCGTTCGGATGGGACAATAAACCGAGGCCCCGTGTGCAACAGAATGTGCACATTAAAGATCCCTCGACAGTTGGAAATGAAAAAAGAGCAGGCTATTGCCGCTTTCCTGGCAAAATTTCCCTCATTGCACCCTGCATGGCCTTTACCGTCTTCATTAGCCCACATGGTGCAGAAAAGCAGGTTGTAAAACTCTATTCATTTCATTTCATTTCATTTCAATGCTATGTGTGAGATTAGAATGCCATGTGAAATGCTGAAAGTTGAAAGTTTTATTCTGTCTATATATCTATATTGTAGATAACTGGATTGTTATTACAAGCATCTAAAAAGTTACAGATTAATATGCATATAGTTAATAACACTGATGTCTTGTAAGCTAATTTACTTCACAGTTATTCAGTCTTTATAGAAATAAATATCTAAACCCTTTTAACATTTATATATACTGACTGCTATAAATTAGGATATTCCTGTTGCTCCTTGTCAATGATTTGATGATTTGAAAAGGACATCTAATTATTGCGGGAGCCACGGTGGCTCAGTGAGTTAGACGCTTGCTTGTGTGTTACAGGCAGTGCAAGTTAAAGATCCCTCGACAGTTGGAAATGAAAAAAAAGGAGGCTAAAGCCGCTGTCCTGGAAAAATTTCCCTTATTGCTCCCTGCATGGCATTGCCTGTCTTCATTAGCTCACATGGTGCAGAAAAGTAGGATGTAAAACTCCATTCATTTCATTTCATTTATCTCATTATTGCAATGAGTAAGACATAACTAATGTCCGTTATGCTACAGTTCTGCACCAAGTGTGGATATTAATCTATATTAGAAACACAGTGAAATTGCTGCAGCTTACTTCATTTAGTTTTTTCTCAAGAAGCATGGAAACGTACATTGTTAATATGTAAAATATATAACGAAACATTCATTGTTGTTTTACAGAGTATCAAAAGGAATTAAGGAAGTTTTTTTGCCTGTTCTGTGGTTAGATGAGGTAATATTATCTTTCTTGTCCAAAATTTCTTACATACAGCAAGGGAAGATTCTAAAAATAACAGATCAATTAATTCGTTTAATATTAATTTACCAAGAACAACAGTTGATAACTTTTTTGTCAGATCATGAAAGGCAAGTGGAATAAAAAAAACACAACACCAATCATTCAGATTTGTATTTTAATGAATTTTAATTTATATTTTGTAGAATACAGTAATTGATATTTTGTAGAATATGGTTGTTGATTTTTTGAAAAATACAATAATTGACATTTTGTAGAATACAGTAATTGATATTTTGTAGGATACAGTAATTGGTATTTTGTAGGATACAGTGATTGATATTTTGAAAAATACAGTAATTGATATTTTTTAGTATACAGTAATTGGTATTTTGTAGAATACAGTAATTGATATTTTGTAGGATACAGTAATTGAAATTTTGTAGTATACAGTAATTGATATTTTGTAGTATACAGTAATTGGTATTTTGTATAATACAGTAATTGATATTTTGTAGAATACAGTAATTGATATTTTGTAGTATACAGTAATCGATATTTTGTAGAATACAGTAATTGATATTTTGTAGAATACAGTAATTGGTATTTTGTAGGATACAGTGATTGATATTTTGAAAAATACAGTAATTGATATTTTGTAGAATACAGTAATTGATATTTTGTAGGATACAGTAATTGATATTTTGTAGTATACAGTAATTGATATTTTGTAGTATACAGTAATTGGTATTTTGTATAATACAGTAATTGATATTTTGTAGAATACAGTAATTGATATTTTGTAGGATACAGTGATTGATATTTTGAAAAATACAGTAATTGATATTTTGTAGAATACAGTAATTGATATTTTGTAGTATACAGTAATTGATATTTTATAGAATACAGTAATTGGTATTTTATAGAATACAGTAATTGATATTTTATAAAATACAGTAATTGATATTTTATAGAATACAGTAATTGATATTTTGTAGAATACAGTAATTGATATTTTGTAGAATACAGTATTGGTATTTTGTAGAATACAGTCATTGATATTTTGTAGTATACAGTAATTGATAAATTGTAGAATACAGTAATTGATATTTAGTAGAATACAGTAATTAATATTTTGTAGAATACAGTAATTGATATTTTGTAGTATCCAGTAATTGATATTTTGTAGAATACAGTAATTGATATTTTGTAGTATCCAGTAATTGATATTTAGTAGAATACAGTAATTGATATTTTGTAGAATACAGTAATTGGTATTTTGTAGAATACAGTAATTAATATTTTGTAGAATACAGTAATTGATATTTTGTAGAATACAGTAATTGATATTTTGTAGAATACAGTAATTGATATTTTGTAGAATACCGTAGTTGATATTTTGTAGAATACAGTAATTAATATTTTGTAGAATACAGTAATTGATATTTTGTAGTATCCAGTAATTGATATTTTGTAGAATATGGTAATTGATATTTTGAAAAATACAGTAATTGATATTTTGTAGAATACAGTAATTGATAATTTGTAGAATACAGTAATTGGTATTTTATAGAATACAGTAATTGATATTTTGTAGAATACAGTAATTGATATTTTGTAGAATACAGTAATTGATATTTTGTAGAATACAGTAATCGATATTTTGTAGAATACAGTATTTGGTATTTTATAGAATACAGTAATTGATATTTTGTAGAATACAGTAATTGATAATTTATAGAATGCAGTAATTGGTATTTCGTAGAATACAGTAATTGATATTTTGTAGAATACCGTAGTTGATATTTTATAGAATACAGTAATTGATATTTAGTAGAATACAGTAATTGATATTTTGTAGAATACAGTAATTGATAATTTATAGAATGCAGTAATTAATATTTTGTAGAATACAGTAATTGATATTTTGTAGAATACCGTAGTTGATATTTTATAGAATATAGTAATTGATATTTTGAATAATACAGTAATTGATATTTTGTAGAATATGGTAATTGATGATAAGAATGCTGATAAGATAAACAACATGTTATTTTTACCAATGTATATAGCCCAGGTGGTAGAAATAACATTGATAGCTGGTGGGTCTCTAATCTTCCTCTTCTCATTATTCCTGGCACAACGATTCCATTATTTAAAGGTAAGAACTGGTCATTATTTGTATGATCATAACAAACCCAGATATAACTATATAATCCTTAATCCATTAGTATAGGTCCACAAGGCGACAAACAATAAGGTAGACATCAAATAGCTCACTCAAGATAGGTCTATGTTGAACATTACGTGTCTAACTTTGATTGGTTTGGCAGTGGCTCATTTATAAACTGACAAATATTTTAGTGACATCAAAACTTTTATCCTTACATGTGAAATACTTGCTAATGAAATGAAATATGAAAATGATTGCTCCACTGATATTGTGCCTAGTGATTTTTTTGAAAAACTTGCTAGTATTATAATTTTGGGATAACATAGCATGAAACTCTGAGTAACAACATGATTGTAGATCTGTTTAAGTGTTTCTATATCACTCTACAATATTGATGTATTGAGCGGTATTTTAACAGTGACAATATTTTATTATTGTATTATCTACTATTGTTATTTTAGAAGAAAGCAGTAAGTCAGAGTCAAGATAGAAAACCACTATTAAATAAAGATTTAGTTCATGACTCTTATTCTAATTCTTGCCTGTCTACATAATGATAGTAAGTACTGGAGAACTTCTTGGTACAGAACCCGATCTCTTTGACACTTCCAAGAGGAGTTCACAGTTAAAAGTTAAAACCTGTCTCACTCTCAAATATTTTATAAGAGTCATAAAGAATGATAAATTTGTTCCTACCATCATGACTTGATAAAGATGAAGACATCCTTGTCAAAATGTTGTAAGTTATTTATTAAAGTAATTATCCATATGATTATCTCTAGTTATAAATCATAAATGATTTAATGTGAAATTTTATATTTGGACTATACATGATTGCATAAAACTTCCATTTCTTTTCTTTCTTTTCTGACAGAAATGATATTCTCTCAGAGATTACTTTGTCTTTCATTCTATAAATAGCCAAGACTCAATTTTAGATGTTTTATAAATACATAAGACAATATTTAGAGTCTGGTTTGATCAAGTCTATACTTTGTCTTAAAGCCAAATTAAAGGGGTATTCCGCTTTTATGTAAAAAGTTTTCATTATCAAAAAAGTTCTAAATTATACCTAAAAATATTTCAAAAGTATACTATTTATATCTATGTATCTACTTGATCAGACGGAATTTGTTTTAAAATGGTTAATTAAAGACAGAGAGGTACTTACTATTTGTTAATTAAGTAGTTTGACCTAGTTTTGGTGTTTAGCTTTATAATGGCTCAATGTTTTTTGTTAAAACCTTTAGAATACGTAGGAGACATATTTCTCTACAATTAGGCGTTCATTTTACTCAAATCTGTACATGAGTTTTCAAACAGCATGCAAAAAGCTAACAGCTAAATAAGCAGAATGTCCCTTTAAGAATCTGGTTGAATAATGAGTTATGTTTCTATGCAAGTATGTAGTGTGTAGATGTTATATATATTTAAAGTTCCTTGCTTCAAAGTGCCATGTCTATCAATATGTTTTCTAATCTTGAGCTAGTAATAATTAATAATTTAGTAATTAGTCAAGTTATTGCAATATATGTGTTTGCTTATGTAGATTTTTTTTGTTTTCAACATTCAATTATGTACCATGAAGTATTGTTAATTTTAATAATGAAAAACACAGAGTATTAACTCAATATATTGATGTGTATAAAATGATGATTTCTCTTTCCATAAGATAAACGATTTCATGATAATTGTGCCATGTTTAAATTGGATTTATGTAAATTTAATTCCATTGCAAATTCAAGACCTTTGTTAATATTAACTTCACCTTCTTTTGTTATTATAATTATTGTTCTGTGATATTTGTTGAAATATTTGTGGCATACTATGTCATGCAAATCTTGTTATCTTTATTTTTTTCCCTTTTTGCTGATGTCTGGAGAGACACACTGGTGTCCTCAAACTTCCACCTGCCGAAACATTCCAGTTGAAACCTCAATTACTAAATCAAATAGCTCGGAACCAACCCAGACCTAACACACTCCACTACTAATAGACGCTTCATTAAACTTCTTGGAATATAAGATTGAAAATTTTCCAACCACATGGGATCAATGACAAAATCTAGCCTTGGACACCCCCCCACCTTTCTCCTGTTCTTAAGAACACATATCATATTATATGATTTTATATATAAAATTGTTATGGCCTAAATTGTAACCAGACTTGGCCTAATTTATGTCCCAATTAAGATATCATTATTATTATAATTATTATTATTTATTCATTTATTTGTTGTTGTTTTGTGTGTTATATTATTGTGAATTGAACCAATAATTTTTCCTAGAAATTGTTACTTATATAATAATTATGTTATTTTTTTTAATTTAATAGTAGCCTTAGTAATAGATAATATATTATGCCTGTGAACAAAGAAGAAATAGGTAGATATGTCTAAAGTTTTTACTGATAATGTTAAATTGAAATGAGATTTGAATTTGATGTAGAAGCAGAGATAAAGTCGAAACAAGAACCATTATTGATGTGCTTTTAAATTATGTTAAGTTGATAACTAAGATACTTATTTTTAAAATAAGGTGCTATCTCTATCCATGACCATAGTGCTATAAATCTAACATATATAGGCCTAGTCATTTTCTGAGACAAATATGTGTTGAATTCTGATACCAAATGTTTTGTTATAATTAATTGATTTAGTGCTACGTTGTTATGTTTTATATTTTCATATTAAACTTTTCTAAACTAATCTAGACTAATACTGTAAATATATTTGGAGCAAAGAAAATGCTCTGAGGGAGATTGTAATGTCTTCAAGCAACCAGATTGAAATTGTTCCCTTCGTGGTATTGTCTGTCGGTTATTTCTCTCATAGTCCATCATCTGATTTAATTTCTCAATTTTCTATTGCTCAATCCCATTAGAGGGTTGGCATTAATTATGCTGACTGACTGTTAAAAGTGGACTAACGATTCAATATCTAACAATGAATATTCAATGCGGAGTATGCAATTGAAAGGAAAGGAATCTGATTGGACGATGACGGTCTGTCTTGAAAACGATAAAACTATCGGAGACAATTATCAAACTTGTTCGATATTATAAATCTTGCGTCGTGGAAACACGGTCACACGCGAGATTTTACTCAAGGTTTGAGTCGGAGATCGCTCGTGTGCCTGCACCTTTAGATCATGTGATTACGTCAGATCACAGATTGAAAGTGGATAAATATCACAAGTGGATAAATATCACAGATCGAAAGTGAATAAATATCACAGATCGAAAGTGGATAAATATCACAGATCGAAAGTGGATAAATATCACAGATCGAAAGTGAATAAATACATCAATAGTCAATGCTACAAACGTTTTATTTTGAAATTGTTATAAAAAAAACAAAAACATTAGGGAAGTCATTAGGGAATAAAGATGATAGTTATCAATTTGGTATAAAATGTTCAACAACAAAACTGTGATTTGATTATATCGTTTTTATCCTCTGTAGTATGATAATGACAAATAAAAACAATTGTGTTCATTGTTACCAATACTTAATTATTTAGGTTTCATGACTACTATAAGTGTACGTGTACGTATGATTGATGTACCACCCGTTAATATTGATTATTAGTTATTGATATTTCAAATAAACTATTACATGTACATATTTCCAAATATATAATTACATATAAATATGCAAAGCGATTGATATCTCACTAAGTTTATGTTTGTGTGAAAAAGTGTAAAGATTTTTCAGACTGCACAAAGTGTACGTATTTCCAAAAAAATCAAATATTGTTTTGTTTCTAAAATGACTTTATTCAGATCTAGAAGATCTATCATTAAGTTCATATATTCATATATTGAAGGTTATTTTATTCTTACGGAAAGTGTATGTAATTCTTATCCCAATTTAACTCGGATTACTTAAGTAAAGAGACTCACGGATATCCCGGAAGAAAATCTCATATGCTGCTCAAATCCTTCTGTTATCTCGCGACAAGCTAAGGTGCACAAGATTTACTGCTGGTATATAGGTCTAAACTACTTTAAGTTCAGTCTAATTTTAGTAACATCATAAAGTATACGTACACTTTAGGTAGGACTACACGGCGTTTTTGTATTTATGTGATTTATAATCATAATGATAAAAGCTATAGAAACACTTTAGGGACAATTAACTTCATAGAAATAAAACAATCAAAAGTATTTAACATGTTTATGGTACAACCATTTTTCTGTTGATTGTTTGACTTGCGAGGACAGAGTTGTATTAGCTTTAACGAATGATTCTGATTGGTAAAAGCTGTTGTGTTGAAATAACATGATGTGTATCAGAAAAGTTTAAGCATCTCGCCAACACTTTAGTAAAGAAATTAAAGAAGGGAAATCAAAGTGTTTAAATTCAACAAAAATATATGCATAGATGGTTTTAGAGTCAATCATTCGATCTTTAAAACGTGACATACATGAAGTTTAAATGGAAAACTAAAAATATTCTGTTAATTAATTTTAGAAAAAACTGAACTTAATTATTTATTATTTGACATTGACGTCGCTTTAAAAGCGCGAAATATGTGTGTGTTTATCTGGGCTTTGATTTTGTCAATCCAGACTGTTGCTGGTCTTCTTGAATTGAACATTCAGGAAACAATAATTCCGTATGAATTGTCAGGTCCGTTTGATTTTGTGATAGGAGAATATGAAGATTTTGAATCCAAGGCGATGGACATAGAGGCTCAATACTGTAGTAGTTCTTGCTCAGAACGATTTAAAAATTTGAATGCAAATGAACCTAATTCCCGATGTGCACCGTGTTTTTGTGACTCTGATTGTTATAAGTATAATGATTGTTGTCCAGATAAGATTTTATTTGAGAAACCAGAAACTGAAATACAACCAGATACTAAATACGGCTGCCACGGAACCATCATTCGAAATAGATATTATCAGGAATTCTATCAAATGATTGACAAATGTCCAGAATCTTTCACCAATCAGGAAATCAAAGAGAATTGTCATAAATCCGATTCTATCCACTGGAAATACGTGAAACCATATTTTGATTTTAAAACCAAAGAAACCTACCGAAATAAATATTGTGCTCTGTGTAATAATGTGATGAATTCTAAATCTTATGAAACACAAATAACTTGTCAAACTTTCGATGATTATGGAAACTCGACAAATTCTACTGAAGTTTATTATCACGTGATCAGTAATTATAAATGTCAGGTGAGATTTAACCCCCCAACAACACAATCCATAGACAGGAGACAATGTGACACTGTTTATCAACCATTTTATTCTAAATGTAACAAGACCGGCTTGTGGAAATTTTACGATGAACGGGTTGAAAGAGCATGCGAACTTTACACCAACATCGTTAACGGAGAATACAGAAATGTTTTTTGTCGGCTTTGTAATGAAGTGATCTTTTGGCTAAGCTTTAACAATGAGGCAAACAGCGAAGTTGTTATCGCGGCACACGGTATGACTAGTTTGTTAAATTTAGGCGATCAAAATGATTATCAGATGGTTAAGGCAACCCGGCTCTTAGCCACACCATCAAAACCCACAATAGCTTGTTCAGATGATGAAATCCTAAATCCATTATCGGTAAGTTTACACTTAAAATTTCAAAATGCGTGGCAATATGTAAATCAACATCTTTTTTGATCTTTACGTTGTATTAAAAAGTGGGATGCGCGTGGTATAACTAGTTTAAGACGTTTTAGTACGTTTTACTCTGGTCTTCACTGATTAGCCCCGCCCTCGCTGCCATCGTTTTATCAAATTGTAAACCAACAATTGAATTGACTATAGTAACTCTAGGCTGTTCTGAAAATGTAAAATTGGCAAATACATGAGATGGAACGGGTGTACAAAAGATATATAATTTAGACGACATCCTGATTATCCCTTTAATTTAATGCTTTCACTCCCTTTTCAGTGTGGTTGTGAAAAGCTATTTTGCACAGGGAGTAAAACTTTAAAGAATGGTCGATGCCAATCTGTGTTTTTAGAATCCAATAGTTTTGGTTATGATATGTGTGTCAGAGTTGCAGGAACAATCAATACTACAGCACCAGAACCGTTCTTAGCGTTTGGTTTTGTCTTACCTAATTATGACTCGCCTTACTATTTGGTAGATCGTTATGCTACTCCAGTAAAAGTCGAGGACTGTGGTAACGGATTCATACAAATTGCAGCAGAGGTCAAAACTCAAATAATATTTATGGATCTTGTACCTACAGATGTCACTGAACTTGACCTTGTTAACAAAATGAAGCAAGTCGGCGAGGAAGTCAATTCATATTATGATGGAGATATGACATCCACATTAGAGCGAGCTTGTCCACCTCCGCTTAACCTCGTACTTCCGGAATATGTCGTACCAAATTCACTATGTATTGGAAAGCCGTCAAACTTTTTTGAATCTTTCGCTCCCATAATACCAGAAGTGAAGAAGGCATTGAAATTCATAGAGTTTATCCCGTTAAGTAAATTGTTAACATGTACCCTGATTCTCGTCAATTCATCTCAAGTGACTCATGAACCCAGGATACTGACTCTGTTACATAATAATGTGACTCTCAGTTCGGGAGAGTTTGAAATCCAGGATGATCAGTTTGTAGTTTGTACTGAAGATTTCCTGTTTGGAACCAGTATTGATGAATGTTCTCCGACTGATGTACACCAAAATACAACCAATGGAACGAGAGACGGGAATATTTCAGCAACACCTTTAGGTATCCTGTCTGTTGTTTGTACCTGTATTTCTTTATTATTTTTAATCATAACATTTGTGTTTTATTGTATAGTCAAAGATCTGAGAAATGTTGTTGGGGTTAACGTAATGGGGTTAATTATAAATCTATTTATAGCTCAATTAGTCTATGAATTTGGATTAGAACTTTTTGACTATCCAGTCCTTTGTAAAGCAATGGGTATTTCAAATCATTATTTTTGGCTCTCGGCAACATTTTGGATGAACTGTTGTACCATAGTTTTGTTTATGAAATTATCTTTCCCATTACATTCTCGAGCTTTTACAACTAAATATATTTTACTAAGAAGTAGTTTATATTCTACCATTACACCATTAGTAATTGTAGTCATCACCATTGTAGTCAATATGAGTAATAATGGTACAATAGGCTATGGTAATAGGGCAAAATGTTATATGAGTTATGCTAATGATAGACGCTATGCTTTTGCCCTACCCCTGGGTTTACTGATTATCACAAATGTTGGATTGTTCAGTTATACTTTCATTAAAATCAGAGTGGATCAGGTTGAATCAACCATAAACAAAGAAAATAAAATAAATATATTGGCCTGTTTAAAACTCTCGGTAATTACAGGTGTTGCTTGGATTTTTGCCTTTATTTATGAAGCGACTGGTGCCATAGTTTTTGCGTATCTTTTCACAATATTAGTGGGAACTCAAGGAGTCGTCATTTTCCTGGCATTTGTTGCCAATAAACGTGTTTGTATGTCTTGTAAGGATAAAGTTCACGGTACACCAGACTCTAGTAGTAGTGGTATATCCAAAAAGATGAAATATTTAAGCGAATCTATCGGTATAAGTACTATACCAAGTCCATCTAAAAGTAAATCTAGTACTGATTCAGATAGGGAATATTCTATGAAAGTCGGAAAAAATGCACCCAAAGTTGACGAAAATACTGTCCAGTAGTCTTGAGTACGAGTAATTTGAATTGGCAAAAAATTTGAATTGGCAAAAAATGTCGTATCCGAACCAAAAGATTCTACACGACGTGACTACTTTACTTTTAAAACTATTATCAGTTGTTATTGGGACACAATAACTTGGTGACAGTAAATAAGTTATAGGAAATCTAGTATCAAAGATAATATTCATAATGTTATATTTATCACAGTAGCAATATTTAGTCATAATATCAAAAATTTTGTCACAAATAAAATTATGTCAGATGATAGAATATGTCTCATGGTAAATTGTGTCAATAAGTAAATTTTTTTCACGAGGTAAATTATGTCAAACGGTAAAAGTACCGCAAGCCCACAAGGTAAATTGGTCACAACAGTTAGATCACTTACAGATTGGCCTTCGTAATTTATTCATAAGGTCAATTGGTCACAGTCATGTCGTCAGAGACTTTAATTTGATCGCAGAAACTTCTCTACAAGATAAATTGGTCCTAATGAAAATTGGTCACAGTAATTTATCATAATGTTAAAGATTCGGAAATATTGCCGCAAGGTAAATTGTCACAGTATATAAGGTCACATTTTATGTAACGTGGATCATCAGTTAATATCATCAATATGCCTATGATTTGTCGTCGGTAATTAGTTATTATAGTTACATTTTATGAAACCCGTGCTCATAAGTATAATGATTTGACGAGAATCAAATGTAAAGATCACGGTTTTATGTAACGTTGATCATCTATGAAGTTTTATGAATCGTTGAGCATCAGGGAAAATAATTCAGTCGTCAGTCCTCAGTAAAGACTATGATTTCTATTAGTCATCATTTATTTGTGTAGTTTTAGTCATCAGTAATGATCATTTCATGTAAGATATATATGTTTTAAGTCACCAGTAAAGATATATATTTCAAGTCATCTGTAAAGATATATATTTTAAGTCATCAGTAAAGATATATATTTTAAGTCATCAGTAAAGATATATATTTTAAGTCTTCAGTCAAGATATATATTTTAAGTCATCAGTGAAGTTATATATTTTAAGTTATTAGTAAAGATATATATTTTAAGTCATTAGTAAAGATATATATTTTAAGTTATTAGTCAAGATATATATTTTAAGGCATCAGTAAAGATATATATTGTAAGTCATCAGTAAAGATATATATTTTAAGTCATTAGTAAAGATATATATTTTAAGTTATTAGTCAAGATATATATTTTAAGTCACCAGTAAAGATATATATTTTAAGGCATCAGTAAAGATATATATTTTAAGGCATCAGTAAAGATATATATTTTAAGTCATAAGTAAAGATATATATTTTAAGTCATCCGTAAAGATATATATTTTAAGTTATTAGTCAAGATATACATTCTAAGTCATCAGTAAAGATATATATTTGAAGTTATTAGTCAAGATATATATTTTAAGGCATTAGTCAAGATATATTTTAAGTCATAAGTAAAGATATATATTTTAAGGCATCAGTAAAGATATATATTGTAAGTCATCAGTAAAGATATATATTTTAAGTCATCAGTAAAGATATATATTTTAAGGTATTAGTCAAGATATTTTAAGGAATCAGTAAAGATATATATAAGGCATTAGTCAAGATATATATTTTAAGTCATCAGTAAAGATATATATTTTAAGTTATTAGTCAAGATATATATTTTAAGTCATCAGTAAAGCTATATATTTTAAGTCATCAGTAAAGATATATATTTTAAGGCATCAGTAAAGATATATATTTTAAGGCGTTAGTCAAGATATATATTTTAAGGCATTAGTCAAAATATATATTTTAAGACAAGATTATGATTTAATGTTGCGTTGTTTATCAGTAAAGATCATGTTTGTATTTAGCGTTAAGTTCGGAAAGGTCATACTTTTAAAACTTTTCATTACTTATCAGTAATGAGCTTGATTTAATGTAGCACTGACCATCATAAATTATGTAACTTTGATCACCAGTAAAGAGGCAAAAGAGCATAACATTTGTACAAGCCTGGCGATGTTACTGTGCATTGTGTTTTTCGGATGTAAAACTTGCATAGTTCAATATGTAATAGGTTTATAATAAAGCATATACTTTTTAATAATTTTAATGTTTGTATATTCAATGCATATGTTTTTACATCAGAGTGATAGTTATTATTCTACAGTCGATCGATATTGTTATAGATTTTATTGTTGTTTATTTCTCATACTGTAATTGTTCAATTAAAAAAAAACCACACACATAAGAAAAAACCCAAAACGACTTACTATACACTGTATTTTACTGTTGTATTTTATAAGATAATAATAGTTATTACTAGTAATTTATTTTCAATAGGCTTATATTGTTGCTACTGTTTTCATGCATTTAAGGAACAGCTTCCACATTTTTTGGGGTTGATTTGGGTCTTGAATTTATGTAAACAATCCTCAGAGGTACTAGAAAATGTACGAAAAATCCCTTCAAAAATACCTCAAACTAAGAATTTCACTTTTTATTTCTATATGTCTTTGCTATGTATGACAGAGTCTCAAGAAAAGACGAGTCGTCTCTTTAACTTTCGAACGTGGATAATTCTGGATATATATGAATTTGAAGGTTCAAATTTTGATGGTGAAGCTCTCCCTTTAAATGTGTATATTATATAGATTATTTTTCTAGTTTGCCTGGCATGTTGTATCGCGATGTATCGATTCATCAATATATTTGCTTGCACTTGTATTATGAATAGTGACATGATGTGATATTTTCTATTTTTAAGCAAGATTTGAGTGCTTAAGTTAACATTCTTCCGCTTGACTGAAAAAATACAATATCACAAGGCAAGAATAGTTCAATATTGTACAAATATTATTGATTAAAAACAAGAAGACATATTTTGTAAACCTCCTCTTGTTAGTATCTTAAAAGTAACATGGCGACATGGACAATTTCTATTAGAATAACGAAAATAAAATCTTTACAACCCAAAATTTTGTTCATATGCAGAAAGATCTACCGGAAGATAACAGAAAGGAAAAAAATTTGAAACAAATGGTTGCCTAGCAATTTTACGCCCACTTCCGTCATAATTTTTGTCAATCCGTTAAAAATCGTACCAAATATCTATGTCTAAGATATTGCTGATTTAAACCAACACAACAAATTTCATAAAAGTCTTACAAATACTGTTCACAGGCCACATTTAACACAACTTCAACAAATTATTAAACTCAGACGAACACTGATGTCTCTATTGTGTTAACAAACAAATTTTTACGCATTTTTACAAAGTCAAGGGCAATAACTTAAATTATGTTCAGCGAAAACTCGTCAGACTCAAATTTGACTAAGATCTTATCATTATTAATGATAACACGGAATTTCATATAGGTTGGATGAAAACTGTAGTCTCTATTGTGTTGACAAGCCAATATTGTGGACAGATGGACCGACGGCAATATACGACCACATTATAATGTTGGATAATGAAAACAAACCACAACAAGAAATTCCTTTTCATATTTGAAACAATTAGGTATTAGGAGTTACGGTTAAGATATATTTACCATTTGCTATTACAAACTGCATCTAATACCTTGACTGAAATAGCCACTTTTATTGTCTTACAGGAGTTTGTAAATGCAGCGATTAGATTAGATTGTAAGAATCAGTCAATCAGCGCACTCCAGACGAAGATTGTAAATTATTTGGCTGCGAGTTTAATCGAAGGCTATAATTGGGTGTCCTGTATTCGGTAGCGTACAATCCAATCAAACATTTACCAACTTCAGCAATATTAGAATTACGCGCGGTTCGTAATATAGCTTGAAAATGTGGATTGAGATTTCCATGATATTATCTTTATCTATTGATAATCATGGCTATTTCAGTTATATTGTCTTTTTCCTAATGAAATTCTTCAAGATATCTTCTAGACTGCCCTTCATTTACATATTAAACAAGTTCCTTTTACTTGGAACGCAGAATTAACACTGAAAAATCGAATCTAGTGGGCCAACCAATGAGATGTTGGAAAAATCTATGACTTGATCAGTTTTTAAGAGAACTCGTTATTTTATTTCCAACCTTTGGGCATGATGAATTTCCTTTTCATATTATTAGGTAAGGGCCTTAATTGCATTTTATGTTCTTTATACCGGGGTCTCTTGAATTTTAAGTGGTTTCTCTAATGACAAGAGAAGGCTAATGCCAATATCCTGAAAAATTTCACTGCGCAGCTTTTTATCAGAATCGGGTGCAGAAAGATAGAACTAAGAACTCATTTTCTTTGATTTTGTGCTAATTGTGGTTAATAGTTTCTATCCTGTTTGATAGTCATTTAGTGATTGACACGAAATATGAATATAAGACTTTATGGATAACAATCACTTTATTTCTTAAACACGACGTTTCGACACGATTCCACTGATTCTTGTCGAAACGTCGTGTTTAAGAAATAAATTGATTTTTATCCATAAAGATTTATATTCAATATTTTCTATCATTTCAGTTTCATACACTACTAGTTCTTCGGCCTTAAGTCCACCTTTGTACTTATGGCCTTTGGGGAAGGATAGTTTCACCTATGACGTTGTGAACAATGAAATTGGTGTTTTTCCTAACATTACAGACTGTTTTCCTGTCGGCCCTAAACACCCGAAACTCAGTTATTCATCGCTTTATTTGGACAGGAACAGAACAAAACATATTGACGTCAGAATTCCGCTGAACGCAACTCTGGAAGATTTTACACTATCGTTTTGCATTTATCCTTTAAATTCAAGTGGAATTATATTCCATTATGTATCCGACGAAACAAATGGACAGTTGCCATGGCAAATGTACATGACTATTAATAATGATCAAGTCAACTTAACTATACTGCCTTTTACTGACTCAAGTGGTAAGATTAAAATTGGAAGACGCAATTCAATTTTAGTCAATGAATGGACTAAAGTATCACTAAGTATCCACGTTTATGCAACTTATAATAGAAGAGAATTCATTCTCCTTACCAATACATTCATGAATGGTTTTTCAACACCGCGATATTTTGCCTTGAAATTGCCTGGAAAACTACGATTTGGTGATGGACAGTCGCCTCTCTTGCCTAGTGAACCTTTCTTAGGTTTTATTACTGCTGCCTCCTTATATAATACAGTAGACACGGCTTACAATATCGACCCAATGCATGAACCCGATGTTCTTCAGCATGCACAGGAAAGCACTTGGCCATCAACACCTTCAAGTAAGTTTGAATTTTATTTTGAGCTCTGACCTTATTACGCCTATGACCTTATTACGCTTATCCCTCGCTATCTCCGAAAGACTTAGTCCAAAAATCCCAGCTTACCAAGGTATCTTTATAGTCTAGTCATTCTACATATTGTTGTGCACGCTCTGTGTGAGGCTCCAAGTGATTATTTCTTGTGCCACAAAAAAAAAAAAAACAGAATGTTGAAAATCTTCAATAACCTGGACATCTATCAGTTGGCCTATTATTTCATATACTCGCGAACCTTCAGAGCTAAAAACTGTACATGATATTATAATCAACTATGGCCGGAATTGAATGCGAAGCGAAGTCATTTGTAATTCAGTTTTTTATTTTCAGTTCCATGGTGTCCATATAGAGTACAATACGATGTGGACACCAATCATGTTTGGCCATTGGACGATAAAGGGTTAACGAGAGATATAAGGACCAATACTGTCAATGGAAACAGTCAGTGTTTGAGGTTTGAACAAATACATCCTACATTACCTAATCACGCTGTCCATGTTGACGGTTCACCTTTCGCGAGTATTATGCTGCCAATAAATGGCACTGAAGTCGACGAATCGTTTACTCTCACAGTCAATGTCTTTATCTTGAACGAATCATCTGGTTCATTGATTAAGATTGTCACCATCTTGGGACAAACACTGTTTGAGATAGTTGTAACAGAGACAGAGCTTCAATTCAATGCATTTACAAAAACAACAACAAATTGTGCCTCACTAACGTTGACAGAGAATTTTACATCAAATGCATGGTACGTTATTGGCATCAAAAGAGATGTGGAATCGAACTCAATTGGAATAATCGTTGATGGTTCCTTTAGCTCTACTAATGACACTTGTGGAATATTTGGAATCGATGGCGATCTTTCGGTTCAGATTGGAGCTAGTAGCCGATATTTGCCCGGATATAGAGGAGATGTTAGGTGTCTTATCCTTTTCAATAATCCAGGATCCGATATTATTGACGCCATTCAAGATGCATGTACAGATGCTAATGCTATCTTACCTACGGGTAAGCACTTTATTTTAACATTATGTTAAACTGTTGAAACATTTCTATTATATCAATCCAGAATGTTTAGCTATGTTCCAGTACCTAATTTCGCAAAGCTCTCTTTCACCATTGTAAGCTATACCAGAGTCTATTTCTCTATTTTAAGGCTAACTACTAGTGGAGAATAGATGACTTATATCACAGACTCCATCAAGTTGATGAATACATTAGGATTACATTATTAACGGATGTTAAATCTTAGTTGTGGATTGTTGTTACCTAGCATATCTTTAGAATGCGATAACACCTTCTTTTAGCAATGATAAAGATAGATAAGTAAAGCTCAAAGATGGCCGCAGAAATCCAGTCATTAGATTGCAGCCCACTAGAATTCTCAGATTTAATGTTTCGTTTCGTTTTTATCACACTTTATTTTGATAATAAATTTATATTTCAGTGCCACTTACCAGCTGTATACCCAATCTGAACAGCGGATACCACGTGTTATTCAAGAGAAACATTGTTTTATCTGATAGCTTGTCACCACTGGCTACCTATATCACCAAATCGTTAATACAATGTGCCATCAGCTGTAAGGGCCATGTATTCTGTCGATCATTTACTTACGTGGATAACCAGTGTTTAGTGTATGATCTGGTAACTGAATCGGGACTAATCTCGACTCCAGGAGCTGTTTACTACATCCTTGAAAACAGATCTTAAACAGGTTCACTGTGAATGTTCCACAGTAACGCTCAGTAACGCTCAGGTGTACGGAAACTGTCAAGCTTACATAATGTATCCATACGTTATGATCAATTTTTTTTTTTACCCAAAATGTAAAATTCAAAAATATGATAGAATGCGCTCGAAGTGATTGGACCTTATCAATCTAATGATGTACACCGCTCTTTTGAAAATAAAAACAATCTGCAACGATAGGCCTATATTATCTGTATGTATTTTTTTTAATGGTAACACAGTACATTAATTAAGGCTACCAAATAAAAAAAGCCCAACCCCTGGGATTATGAATAACTTCTTACTTGTTATGGAGCGGGAGTGACCTCTCATCGGTCTCATCATTGGTCAAGTTCGAATTTGACGATTTTTCGATGAATGATTTTTGAGTTATTGTCCTTGACTTAGTAAAAACGCGTCAAAATTTGTTTGTGAACACTATAGAGACAGTTTTCATATGATTATCAGACACAAAATTGTTTGCATGAAGACAGAGTCTTTATTGATTTTACTAAAAATCTTGAAAAATTGATCATCAGTGAAAATCATGTTTTTAGTAAAGATTCAGAGTTTACTGATGATCAATGTTACATAAAATCACGATATTCACTGATGAGCTACATAAAATCACGATAACATAACTCAAAATCACGATATTCACTAATGTTACATAACTTTACGATTTTCACCGGTGATCAATATTACAATAAAAAGAAAGTAAAATTACTGATGATCAACGTTACATAAACCCTTTACATTTTCTGATGATCAACGTTACATAAAATCACAATAATCACTGATGGACTACGTAACATAAAAATTACGATACATGATCAATGTTACATAACTTTACCATTTTCACCGGAGATCAATATTACAATAAAAAGAAAGTAAAATAACTGATGATCAACGTTACATAAACCCTTTACATTTTCTGATGATCAACGTTACATAAACCCTTTACATTTTCTGATGATCAACGGTATATAAAATCGAAATTCTGAATCGATGATCAATCAACATAACCCAAAATCATGATGACAACATTATATTAAATCATGATCTTTACCGATGATCGATGTTACATAAATCATGACCTTTTCATTGATGGTCAACGTTACATAAATTCTTCACTGTTGATCAATGTTACATAAAACCTTAATAAAGCTTGAAAACGAAAAACGTTTCTTAAAATCATGATCTTTACTGATGATTAACGTTTCTTAAAATAATACTCTTTACGTCTGAATAACAAAAAATAAAACTATCCACGTTACATAAAATCATGATCTTCACTGTTAATCAGCGTAACATAAAATCATAATCTTGACTATAATCTACGCTGCATAAAACCATGATCTTCACTGATGATCGACGCTGCATAAAACCATGATCTTCAGTGATGATCGACGCTGCATAAAACCATGATCTTTACTGATGATCGACGCTGCATAAAATCATGATCTTCACTGATGATCGACGCTGCATAAAATCATGATCTTCACTGTTATTAACCTAGTTATATATTTACATAGCATAATAATATACAAATACAAAGAGAAATAAAATATTGCAAAAATATAGTATTGTAGTAAAAGGAAGAGAAAAACTGTTGGTGTATCAATCAAAGTTAAAATAATTATGGGGTTAAATTAAATGTAAAATTAGAATTCAAAATCAATATGAACTATCATTAAGATACATAGATTATAAAAGTTTGACAATTGGTTGTTAATTACATCAATATAAGGTGGATAAGATAAAATTCTTTTGAAATTACTATCTATAAGATAATAATACAAATGTTTAACGAGATTTTAAGGAGCTTAATAAAAAGAGGCATTACATCAACATATCTGCTGGTTTTGACATACAAATTTCTACGTCTGATAACTGCAATCTTTCAAATGATAGAATTACAGTCAAGTAACCTAATTACGTGCATCTCCAGAAATGATTAATAATTTACATGTGCGACCTCGCGTGATCTCGGCATTTGCTTGTTTTGATAAACATGGGTTATCTGTACAATGTCAGCTAGTAGAATGAATCCAGTAGTTTCAAGCAAGGTAAAATGTATTAAAGTATACTTTGACAAATACAAAATGGCGGATTTCAGTTACAAACGTCACAATTTTTTATCGGCCGAATTTCGGATCGGAATTCCAAGTGTCGTCTGCTAAAATGTAGTCCAAAGAATGAAGACACGTGATCAACTAGTGGATTTCGTGTCAGCAGAAAAATTCTATGGAACACAAAGTGGACCATATTCTCATGTTGTTTCAATGACTTATAGCAATAAATCACACTACGTATCTTATTTTGTCAGTCACTATTTTTTTTTGAAATCATGGTTCTTTCTAGGAATTGTCACTAGTTATAATGAATTGATATTAAAGATAAATACTAAGAGAAGTTTATTATACCACTGGGTATCAACGTGGTTCTCTAGACTTATTTATAGATCAAACATTGTACACGAAAATAGGTGACGCATTCTGCCGCCGTTGCCGAGTTGGTTGCTCATGAAATGTGAGTCAAAGTGAGGGATTCATAAAGAAAATCGAAACAAACCAGTTTTAATTATTTTATAGAATATAGTTGTTCCAACTAAGACAAAAAAAATTCCGTTTTTTAACTTTGACAAAATGTGATGTTGAATCCTTATATGCACTAAAATAGGTTACACCACTGTATATTAAGAATATTATTAATCTTTTTACAACTAGATAGTCTATAGGAAAGTCAAATATATAAATGAAGATGTGTACCAGTAAAACCAGTATGCATAAAATCAATTAGTAAGTTTCGAACAAGCTTGACTAGTTCCTGCAACTTTGGACAAGAAAGGAACAGAATGATGTTCCATATCTTCAATACTATTCGTATTACAAAGTCTACAAACAGAATAATCTATCATTTTGAATTTAAATAGTTTAGCATGATCTTCACTGTTAATCATTGTCACATAAAATCATGTTGTTTTCACTAACGATCAACGCTACATAAATTCATGTTGTTTTCACTAATGATCAACGCTACATAAATTCGTGTTCTTTTCACTAATGAGCAACGCTACATAAATTCGTGTTCTTTTCACTAATGAGCAACGCTACATAAATTCGTGTTCTTTTCACTAATGAGCAACGCTACATAAATTCGTGTTCTTTTCACTAATGATCAACGCTACATAAATTCGTGTTCTTTTCACTAATGATCAACGCTTCATAAATTCATGTTCTTTTCACTAATGATCAAAACGTTTCATAAAATTATAATCTTCACTGATGATCAATGTCACATAAAATAATTAAGAAACATTTAGTAAAATAACGTTACATAAAACAGGAACTTTTATGATGATCAACGTTACATAAATCGCGCATCTTTGCTGATGATCAACGTTACATAGAATCATAATGAAATATGATCTTTAATGTTGCATGATTTTATGATCAACGTCGGGAAACATTAATCATTGACTGAATTAGCAATAACACCGAAAGCAGAATAGTTATAATCCCACTGTTCATGGTACCCACTTGTCTTGACAACTAAACAGCTTCGCCATTGAAGTTGGGTACAGATGGTCGAAGTTTCGCATTTTGGTCACTGTCTGAATCAGTACTAGATTTGCTTTTGGGTAAACTTGGTAAAGGACTTTCACTGGCAGTTTTCAGTAAATATTTTTTCTGTTTGTATACACCACTACTTCCAGAGTCTGATGTACCGTAAAGTTTATCCTTACAAGACATACAAACACGTTTATTGACAATAAAAGCAAAGAAAATCATTACCCCTTGGGTTCCCACTAATAATGTGAAAAGGTACGCAAAAACAATGGCACCAGTCGCTTCATAAATAAAGGCAAAAATCCAAGCAGCACCTGTAATTACCGAGAGTTTTAAACAGGCCAATATATTTATTTTATTTTCTTTGTTTATGATTGATTCAACCTGATCCACTCTGATTTTAATGAAAGTATAACTGAACAATCCAATATTTGTGAGAATCAGTAAACCCAGGGGTAGGGCAAAAGCATAGCGTCTATCATTAGCATAACTCATATAACATATTGCCCTATTACCATAGCCTATTGTACCATTATTACTCATATTGACCACAATGGTGATGGCTACAATTACTAATGGTGTAATGGTAGAATATAAACTACTTCTTAGTAAAATATATTTAGTTGTAAAAGCTCGAGAATGTAATGGGAAAGATAATTTCATAAACAAAACTATGGTACAACAGTTCATCCAAAATGTTGCCGAGAGCCAAAAATAATGATTTGAAATACCCATTGCTTTACAAAGGACTGGATAGTCAGAAAGTTCTAATCCAAATTCATAGACTAATTGAGCTATAAATAGATTTATAATTAACCCCATTACGTTAACCCCAACAACATTTCTCAGATCTTTGACTGTACAATAAAACACAAATGTTATGATTAAAAATAATAAAGAAATACAGGTACAAACAACAGACAGGATACCTAAAGGTGTTGCTGAAATATTCCCGTCTCTCGTTCCATTGGTTGTATTTTGGTGTACATCAGTCGGAGAACATTCAAAAATACTGGTTCCAAACAGGAAATCTTCAGTACAAACTACAAACTGATCATCCTGGATTTCAAACTCTCCCGAACTGAGAGTCACATTATTATGTAACAGAGTCAGTATCCTGGGTTCATGAGTCACTAGAGATGAATTGACGAGAATCAGGGTACACGTTAACAATTTACTTAACGGGATAAACTTCATGTCCTTCAATACTTTGTCCATACCAATCTTTATATTAAAGTTAGAATGAAATGGTTTTGTAGGTATTTCAATACACGATGAATCAAGACCTAGAGCTCCTGTAAATTCAAGCGGAGGTGGGCAATCTCGCTCTAATGTGGATATCATATCTCCATCATAATATTTGACTTCCTCGCCGACCTGTTTCATTTTATTAACAAGGTCTAGTTCAGTGACATCTGTAGGTACTGGATTCTCAAATATAATTTCAGTTGTAATATCGGCTATAATTTGCACGAGTCCGTTTCCACAGTCCTCGACTTTTACTGGAGTAGCATAACGATCTACCAGATAGTAAGGCGAGTCATAATTAGGTAAGACTAAACCAAACGCTAAGAACGGTTCTGGTGCTGTAGTATTGATTGTTCCTGCAACTCTGACACACATATCATAACCAAAACTATTGGATTCTAAAAACACAGATTGGCATCGACCATTTTTGAAAGTTTTACTGTCTATACAAAATATCTTTTCACATTCACACTGAAAATAGAGAAGGGAGACAACCGCTATATGGAAAAAATATTGCATTGTTATTGTAAAGATTAAAGGGACAGATAGGCCATTTTAGGGGGTTGATTTTAGTGTTGAATTTATGTAACTAGTCTTCAGAAGTAACTAGAAATGTACGAAAATCACATAATTAATACTTCAAACTAGGAATTAATTTACTATTTCTATATATATTTTTTCTATATATCACAGAGTATCTTAAATTGACGAGTCGTCATTTTAACATTCAAACGCTGATAATCCTGGACACACATGGATTTGAAGGCACAAATTTTGATGATGAACTGTGAACACTATTACTGATTAGTTCAGCTAAAAAAAATCCAGTTTCTGAGACTAAAGTATGATTGGTAAAAAAAAATGGCCTTACTGTCCCTTTAACTTATAATGTGATATTTCAAAAACTAATACTTTCCAGCATGGTGCACTTTCTTAAAACATTGAACATGACCGTTTTCAAAATTCAATAAATGAGAAAAAGCCTGCGTGTTGTATAAGGTGCGGTTAGTCTTTAAGAATATATGGTAACTATATCATCCTGATTGATCATGAAATTGAGGTATAAAATTTGACAATCGATTTTTCTTCTTAATCAACTGTAAATGTATTAAACTTACAGATAATGGATTCAGTATTTCATCATCTGAACATCCTTTAATAAATTGTGTTGATTCGTCTGAGAACCGGGTTTTTTCAATTAACCCATCATCGCCACCCAAATTTAATAAACTGGTCATACTAAAGTGACCTATTGGACGTGTGGTGAATGGTCCAAACAAATCGAGCCAGAAGATCTTTTCATTACAAAGCCGACAGAAAATATTTTTATATTTTTCATTAACAATGTTGGTATAAAGTCCACATGCTCGTTCAACACGTTCATCAAAGAATAGCCACAAGCCGGTCTCGTTACATTGAGAATAAAATGGTTGATAAACAGCTCCACATTGTCTCCTGTCTATGGATTGTGTTTTTGGGGGGTTAAATCTCACCTGACATTTATAATTATTGATCACGTGATAATAAACTTCAGTAGAATTTGTCGAGTTTCCATAATCATCGAAAGTTTGACAAGTTATTTGCGTTTCATAAGATTTAGAATTCATCACATTATTACACAGAGCACAATATTTATTTCGGTAGGTTTCTTTGGTTTTAAAATCAAAATATGGTTTCACGTATTTCCAATGGAGAGAATCGGATTTATGACAAGTCTCTTTGATTTCCTGATTGGTGAAAGATTCTGGACATTTGTCAATCATTTGATAGAATTCCTGATATTGTTCATTTTTAATGATGGTTCCGTGGCAGCCATATTTAGTATCTGGTTGTATTTCAGTTTCTGGTTTCTCAAATAAAATCTTATCTGGACAACAATCATTATACTTATAACAATCAGAGTCACAAAAACACGGTGCACATAAGAAATTAGAATCACCCTTATACAACTTTTTAAATCGTTCAGAGCATGAACTTCTACAGTATTGAGCTTCTAGGTCCATCGCCTGGGATTGAAAATCTTGGTATTTTCCAATCACAAAATCAAACGGACCAGATGTATTAGACGGGTGTGCTGTCCCTTGTCTCACAACCGCCTTAATGGAACAAAACAAAATCCAAAAGACCAAAAACGTTTGCATTTTGCTATTAGTTATCACCTCCTTCATTAAACATTGAATGCTATAAATTGCAATCACTCAATTAGGCACATGACACTAAAAACATTATACACTGTCCATCATAGCACTCGGCTGTTGTGGTCACTAATGTTTACAATATATCCCTGATGTGAATTAGTCACACACTAAATACTAATGACATTATAATAGGCCTATGCGTCAAGGAGGAATCATGCTCTGAGATAAAGTTTTGCCGATCAAACCATTATTCTGGATTCTCGTGAAACACTTTTCAATTTAAAATAAAAACAGTTTTTGTTTCTCGCAACAGTATTGTGTTGCTAAATAACACAAGAATGGCAGCGAGGGAACTGAAATCTGAAGTGAGCTTATTACTCATTACATCCTTTAACAATCTAGGACAATATTTATGTTAGTATATGAGTGTCATTATAGTAGAATTATGTAGGCCTAATTATATTCCACTTCACACATAACTCATACAAAACTCAGAGCAATTTTAAATTCATTCACATATTAAAATCACGACAAATCCTGTATTTAAGATCCTAAAACCATGTGAGCTTACTTGTACCAGTATTTACACAGAAGACATGCTGACACTTGATAATCCAGAATAGATCTAAAACTAAATCACCGAAAGATGAGAGGCAAGTCTAATTCAGTTGAAGTGTACAGTATATACTAAAAGGTTTGATGAATAATATTGTTTCTTACCACTATATAAATTCATATCAATCATGATATCCTTAAATTATTTAGAGAATCATTTCTCCTTTGGGCAAAGATAAAATGGGACGGTTAACGAATTCGTACAATATCAGTCGGATAGAATAACTCCAAATGTCAGGTTTGTTGGGAAAAAATGAGTTATTCTGATAGAGTATAGTTGGACTGCAGCAAAATTTCCCCTATGATTCTGGCTTGGGGAACATTTTTCACAGCCTCGTGAAGTTAACCTAGTCTCAGTCGCCCGCTTGTGACGGAAGATCAATACGTCAAAATTGTTTGCAGCATCCAATTCACTGCATTTACAAACTTCCGTGATTCAAGAAATGTGCCTATTCAAGAGTAAAATACGTATAAAGTTCGATGTTCGGGAGTTAGCCAATTTAATTGAGAAAACAGGTCTGCCGATCTTGCATCCGCAAAACTTTCTGGCGTGGAGAAATAGATATAGAAGGGGGCAAATATGGAGCCTTATGGGACCCCACTTCACAAATCTTTCAATAGATTCCATCTTTCTAAAACATTCTCTCTGTTGACGGTTTTTAAGGTAACAGTTTAATATTTTGATACAATTAGGATGAAACTTATATAATTGTATTTTTCTTAACAGCAATCGGTGATCAATCAGGTCGAAAGCCTTACTGAAGTCAAGGTAGACAATACCAGTTAATTTACCTTGATCTAATGCTTCTAACCAAGAGTCTGTTACCAGTGCTGTTGTACATGAATGATGGTCTCTTAACCCTGACTGGTTTGTGTAAAATAAATTATGTTTATATTTTTGTTTTAGTTCGTCAGAAAAGATATTTTTTTGAAATACAGGGTTAATGGGATAAAACTTATCTTCAAAGTTTCTATATATATTAATTCATAACTTTATAACTGTGATATTTGGTAATATAGTTTAATAAAAAGTTTCTAACAATTTCAGTGATAAAAATTGTTATATCATAAACCAACTTATAGAAATAGCTTGCCAGCTTTCATTTTAAATAAAAATATTTAGCAGTACAGTAACAATTACCAGTATGAAAGATTCAAGTAATACACTCATTAGGATTCCTCCATGGGTGATTACTAACACTCATACCAAGTTTCATCTAAATTCGTCAAGAATTGTGCCTTCTGGAGTGTGTACGAGCTAAATATTGAACGCGTTTTCAAAAAAAGAGCAATAATTCATAGTAAATATTTTTGATTTTTCAGATTTTCAATAGGATTCATCCTTGGGTGATAACGAACACTCACAACAAGTTTCATCCAAATCCGTCAAGAATTGCGCCTTCTAGAGTGTTTACGAGCATTTCAAGAACAAGGGTAATAACTCATACTAAATATTTTTTGATTTTTCTGATTTTCAATAGGGTTCATCATTGGGTGATTACAAGCAACCATACTAAGTTTCGTCGAAATCAGTCAAGAATTGTGCCTTCTAGAGTGTTTACGAGCAATTGTGGACGGACAGAAATGGGGGACGTATATTGTCGGCACCCCTGTCCGTCCGTCGGTCCGTCCGTCCGTCAACATTTGCTTCTAAACGCTCTAAAAATAGAATTTTTGATGGAATCAAATGAAATTCGGTATGTGTATACATATTCATAAAACGAAGATCAAGCTCGAATTTGAGCTTTTTTCGACCGTTAGAAGCAGAGTTATTGCCCTTGCCCCAAAATCTTGAATATTTACCATCCGCATGTCGTGGTGGGCGTATATGGCTGTGGTCCAGTATCTTTATGGAATGGTAAATATCGTCAAGTATCGACACATGGCGTCGCGTATCATGCCATGTCGTATCGCGATACATCGATCCTCCGTTAGATATACCGTGCCAGCACTACTGTATAGGGCCCTGATTGACTGTATTTGCTGGCATACAATCCAATCAATTCGCTGTATTCCATAATACAAGAAAAGTGGCTATAGCACCTCACATCATTTGGGGTGTGAAAGGTACACGTGATTGCACCAGGGGTATAAAGGCTGAAATAAGTTGGGAACCACTGTCTTAATTGCAATAAGATAACCCATAATCTCGGCAAAAAAAAGAAGATCCAAATCGTAACCAGCCACGTATACCTTTGTTTATGTAGCTGCACATTTTGATAAAACCTGTACCTTGAAATCGCTTTTTCATTTTTCAACTATGTCAATTATCCCACACCGTAAATCGCAGCGTGTCTCACATTTTAGTTGTAACTCTAATATACCACAATAATAAACAACTATTGTTGAGTATATAAAATATTGTTAAATTCAATGAAACGGTTGATCAATCAATTGATGATAGGGTAATCGAATATAACAGCCCTAATGATAAATCAGTCACTGCGTTCCTAATCACAATTGGTTTCCATTATGTTTTTCTGTGATGCCACTTTAATATGTTTTTTTTTCCACGGATGAAGTTCGATTTTGTCCTACACAGTAAGTCATCATCATTTTTTTTCATATAGGCATCATTAAGACTTAAGCGGTTGTTAAAAAAACAACATGCTATAGAAATTACTAATCTTATTGGTTTCTATGATGCCATAATGATATAGGCGTCATCATCATTTTTTTTCTTATAGGCATCATTAAGACTTAAGCGGGTGTAAAAGACAACAACAAATACAGGCCGGGGAGAAAATACAGGTTTGTGCAAAAGAACAGATATTAATACGAGTATTAAGTATCAAAATTTGAAAGTCTGAAGTCGGAGTGTCCCGACCTAGCTTTAGCTGTAGTAAACAAGTAAATAGAAAATCATAAAAATACATAGTCTTTAAGACTCTTCCATCTTTGAAATAATTATACTTACGATACACAATATATTCTTATAGTAAATTATCTTCACCTCAGTACAAAGAAAAATACAAAAAAACATCATGCTCAGTCGGTCTGCTAAATAAATATAGAGTCACTTATCAAATATGCACTAAAATTCACATATTTTACTTCTTTCTATTTTTAACTCTGACATAATAAATGTATACCTACCTACTCATATTGCATCTAATATCCAAAAGATACGCTCTTATGTGTTCTGAGTTTTATAAAGCCTCTCGCATCGTTATAGAATGTATTATTAAAATAGTATCTGATAATATTGAGAGTCGACTACCAAAAGCACAATCCGCGGAATCTCCCGTGGAATTTTAAGATCTGATTCAATCTTCCTGAATATTACTGTGATTGATTTGATTGAGAATAAAATTCGAAATCATTATACACCAAGTCCACCGTTCCCATTTCATTAAAGATGGGTTTCCTTTTATTTTATTGTCAAATTAAGCAAACTATTTGATAAATGGGTGTTTCTAATGCATTATCATGTATTATTAATCATATCTTATTGTGTATATCATAAATGTTGACCTTTCTTGATCGGTCACTCATTATAATCCTCCTGGTATGGAAGCCGGCTGCGGCCATAGGTACTCTCGACTTCTCGCTCACGAGAAAGCGAGGAAACTCGACTTCTCGTCTACGAGAAAGCGATACGAGGAAAAGGCGAGGAAAAGGCGAGGAAAGAGGCGAGAAAAAAAAGGCGAGGAAAAAGGCGAGAAAGCGAGGGTAAAAAAAGACGAGGAAAAAGACGAGAAAACAATTTCTCGCCTTTTTCCTCGCTTTATCTTGTCCCGACTTCTCACCCACGAGTAATGTAGCCGCACTCAGTTTCCATACTGCTGGTAATTCTCTTCTAATTTAGCTAATTATGAATTTATTATGGACATGTGAGACAAACTGGTGTTTTTTTCAAGTTATTAGTACATCTCTACTTTCTTTTAATATAAGTATTAGCATTTTCATAAATGAAAATAAGGGAACCAATCTATAACATTCCATAATAAAAATGAAATCGTATTGATTGATATAATTAAATATTATATAGGACCCGCTCCAGTAATTAATTTTATGCTAATGATGGTATGATCCGTGCTATTTTTAAAAATCCTCTTTCTCCCTTTCTTGCATCATTCCCAATTTCAATCAGACGTCTGTTGTTCCTGCAATTCCGCTAAAACTAAGTTTTTGATGACATCACTTATTGCGAAGGCTTCCTGTGATAAAGCGATCAGTGACGTCATCAAACACGTCTGTTTTGTGTAATTGATTGAATATTGGAATGATGCACTGTTGACTATAACAGCTATGGTCGTAGTCGGATGCACAGGCTTTTTGTTTCTGACGTTTGATCTGCGTCAAGATTTCTACTAAAAGCTCATCGACTTTGTGATTTAGCGCAATCGACGTTTCGGGAAATTTACAGTTTACAAAACTTCTACAATATTATGATGTAATATTATTTAAGAATAGTTTTTGGCTTCCAAACCCTTAATATGTGAATATTAGCCATAGAAGTTTCTGTTCTGTAATATGCTGACTTATTTTACTCCACACAGCACTTTTTAGGAAGATAAAAAAAAATAATAATTCTAGCCATTTTCAATATGATATTTATTTTTTCATAAAGGAAATTCAATATGTAAAATCTTTAGAAAAATATTGAAAAACAAGAATGAGCTTCAAATATTCAAAAGGAACGATCTCAAGAGTTGAGACAATAGTTCAAAATACAACAAATAAATTAAGAAAATTATTTAAAAGTCAACATTGTAGTCTAACAAGTTTTCTACTACAGTCCATATGTAATGACGTTATTGTTGACAAATCGAAGCGTGTCTTGTAGGATTTGCTAATATCCCCGAATTCGTCCTTATAGTTATCAGGAAACGGGCTCTTTATTACAGAGACAAAAAATATAATAACAAAGGAACGAAATCGTAATATTTGCACAAACCCTGAATCTTTACTGATTTTACTAATAATCATGACTTAATATAACATTGATTATCAAACTGATGATCTGCGTAACAGAAAATAAACATGGAGCAAGATAACGTTACATAAATCAGTGGCTTAACTGATGATCAACTTTACATAAAATCGTGATTGTTACTGATGATCAATGTCACATAAAATCTTCACTGATACTCAACTTAACTTAAAATCGTGAACTTTACTAAATTTACATAAATCATGATATTTTCACTGATGATCAACCTTAAATTAAAATACTAAGTAAATCAATAATGAACTTGAACTGCAGTAGTGAAATAACATTACATGAATCATGATGTTTGCATGATGATAAGTGTTCCTTAAAGTGATACTACGTCTTAGAATTAACATAAAATTTAAGAATTTTAAACTTGGCGAATAAGAGCTAGTAGATATACCTTGTGTCATAAATAACATAATACATGAGGATCCTAATATAATCTGATAAATTAAAAAAAAAGTATCCATAAATATGCAATTAACTATTGAAAAACGCTTAATATCACCAAAAAAATTATTTTTATGAATTTTCCAATTTTCTAGATTTTACAGGGATTCTGTTGTAACTTTATGACACCAGGTAAGCTAACTGATGAATGTAGACTAATATTGACCTTTTCGAGAACTTAAATTTCATATTTATTCTAAGACGTAGTATCACTTTAAATAAAATGCATTACCTAATAAATGAAATAAAATCATGATCTTCACTGTTAATCAGCGTAACATAAAATCACAATCTTGACTATAATCGACGCTGCATAAAATCATGATCTTGACCAATAATCGACGCTGCATAAAATCACGATCTTGACTGATGATCAATGTCAAATAACATAATAATAAAAAAATAAAATAACGTTACATAAATCTTTCATGCTGGTTCAACGTTACATAAAATCATGATTTACACTAATGATCAACGATAATTAAATCCCGCATCTTTGCTGATGACAACGTTAAATAGAATCTAAATGAACTTAGGCGTAAAATAACGTTACATAAATCAGGAATCAGATTTTATGGTCAACGTCAGGAAACAGCCATTACTGACTGAATTAGCACTGACACCAAAAACAAACTATCTTACTGTTCTTGATAACCACTCGTCTTGACGACTAAACCGCTTCATCGTTGAAGTTGGGTAAAGGTGGTCGGAGTTTTGCAGTTTGGCCCCTATCTGAATCAGTACTAGATTTACTTTTAGATAAACTTGGCAAGGGACTTTCACCGGTAGATTTCACTAAATATTTTTTCTGTTTGGATATACCACTACTACCAGAGTCTGATGTACCGTAAACTTTATCCTTACAAGACATACAAACACGTTTATTGACAACAAAAGTCAAGAAAATGACGACCCCTTGTGCTCCCACTAATAATGTGAAAAGGTACGCAAATGCTATGACACCAGTCGCTTCATAAATAAAGACAAAAATCCAAGCAGCACCTGTAATTACCGAGAGTTTTAAACAGGCCAATATATTTATTTTATTTTCTTTGTTTATGGTTGATTCAACCTGATCCACTCTGATTTTAATGAAAGTATAACTGAACAATCCAATATTTGTGAGAATCAGTAAACCCAGGGGTAGGGCGAAAGCATAGCGTCTATCATTAGCATAACTCATATAACATATTGCCCTATTAGCATAGCCTATTGTACCATTATTACTCATATTGACCACAATGGTGATGACTACAATTACTAATGGTGTAAAGGTACAATATAAACTACTTCTTAGTAAAATATATTTAGTTGTAAAAGCTCGAGAATGTAATGGGAAAGATAATTTCATAAACAAAACTATGGTACAACAGTTCATCCAAAATGTTGACGAAAGCCAAAAATAGTGAATGGAAATACCCATTGCTTTACAAAGGACTGGATAGTCAAAAAGTTCTAATCCAAATTCATAGACTAATTGAGCTATAAATAGATTTATAATTAACCCCATAACGTTAACCCCAACAACATTTCTCATATATTTGACTGTACAATAAAACACAAATGTTATGATTAAAAATAATAAAGAAATACAGGTACAAACAACAGACAAGATACCTAAAGGTGTTGCTGAAATATTCCCGTCTCTCGTTCCATTGGTTGTATTTTGGTGTACATCAGTCGGAGAACATTCAAAAATACTGGTTCCAAACAGGAAATCTTCAGTACAAACTACAAACTGATCATCCTGGATTTCAAACTCTCCCGAACTGAGAGTCACATTATTATGTAACAGAGTCAGTATCCTGGGTTCATGAGTCACTAGAGATGAATTGACGAGAATCAGGGTACACGTTAACAATTTACTTAACGGGATAAACCTCATGTCCTTCAATACTTTGTCCATACCAATCTTTATATTAAAGTTAGAATGAAATGGTTTTGTAGGTATTTCAATACACGATGAATCAAGACCTAGAGCTCCTGTAAATTCAAGCGGAGGTGGGCAATCTCGCTCTAATGTGGATATCATATCTCCATCATAATATTTGACTTCCTCGCCGACCTGTTTCATTTTATTAACAAGGTCTAGTTCAGTGACATCTGTATGAACTGGATTCTCAAATATCATTTGAGTTTTAACATCGGCTATAATTTGTGTAAGTCCGTTACCACAGTCCTCGACTTTTACTGGAGTAGCATAACGATCTACCAGATAGTAAGGAGAGTCATAATTAGGTAAGACCAAACCAAACGCTAAGAACGGTTCTGGTGCTGTAGTATTGATTGTTCCTGCAACTCTGATACACATATCATAACCAAAACTATTGGATTCTAAAAACACAGATTGGCATCGACCATTCTCTAAAGTTTTACTGTCTATACAAAATATCTTTTCACATTCACACTGAAAATAGAGAAGGGAGACAACCGCTAAATGGAAATGGAAAAATGCACCCCGTATAGTTAAGATTAAGATAGATTTACTTAAAGTTGCCTTTGCTTATTTTTCTTGATCAAATCATGTTTATTGTTGATTAATTGATGTTTCTAATTCATAAATCAAGTACTCTTGAGTGCTAAGATTGTGTGAGGATGTAGAGAAGCTTGGGGATCAAATTTACTTAAATCCGATTGAAAAAGCTAAAAATACATTCCTTGTTTACTCACTGACTAAAATAGATTGTGATAATCTAGCCCCTTTTTCGTATAAAATATTATTAGCCAAACCATGTTTAAAAGACATATTTGTAAGTTAGAAATAATGTAATTAATTACACTGTGTATAGAAAATAAAAAAAACATCGTCTTTTTATCTATTTTGGAAACATAACTATTAAAATTTTAAAAAAATCAGTTGGTATTTGGCTGTTTTGGTATTGCTCGGCTGTGAAAAGGCACAAATAGAGTTATGGAAATTGTGAGACCTGATTATCTTTATTAATTGACGGCTAGATTATTGTAATCCCCTCGCAATTAAAGTTAAATATTGAATTTTGAGACAAACTGGTATTTTTCCCAAACATTAGCCGGCCAATAAAGGAATATATGTATAAATAAATGAAAACAAGCGAACCGAACTTTGAGCAAAGCGGCGATATAATATATAGTTCATCAACTAATACATTCTTCCATAGTGCACTTTCTTACTGTCTCAAACATGACCCTTTTCAAAAATCAATAAATGAGAAAAGAGCTGCGTGTAGCATAAGGTGCGTTTAGTCTTTGGGAATATATGGTTACTGTTTCATCTACGTTTTCATCCTGATTCATAATGGAATTGAGGTATGAAATTTAACAATTGATTTTGCTTTTATTAATTTTAAAGTTATTGAACTTACCGATAATGGATTCAGTATTTCGTCATTTGAACATGTCATTGTAGGTTTTGTTGGTGCGCTATCCGAGTTTTTTGAAAAAATCCAGTATCATCATCGTCACCTAAATTTAATAAACTAGTCATACTAAACAGTCCTACTTCAATTCTTCTGTTTGGTTCATAACTCAAATCGCGCCAGAAGATCTTTTCATTACAAAGCCGACAGAAAATATTTTTATATTTTTCATTAACAATGTTGGTATAAAGTCCACATGCTCGTTCAACACGTTCATCAAAGAATCCCCACAAGCCAGTCTCGTTACATTTAGAATAAAATGGTTGATAAACAGCTCCACATTGTCTCTTGTCTATGGATTGTGTTGTTGGGGGGTTAAATCTCACCTGACATTTATAATTATTGATCACGTGATAATAAACTTCAGTAGAATTTATCGAGTTTCCATAATCATAGAAAGTTTGACAAGTTATTTGTGTTTCATAAGATTTAGAATTCATCACATTATTACACAGAGCACAATATTTATTTCGGTAGGTTTCTTTGGTTTTAAAATCAAAATATGGTTTCACGTATTTCCAATGGAGAGAATCGGATTTATGACAATTCTCTTTGATTTCCTGATTGGTGAAAGATTCTGGACATTTGTCAATCATTTGATAGAATTCCTGATATTGTTCATTTTTAATGATGGTTCCGTGGCAGCCATATTTAGTATCTGGTTGTATTTCAGTTTCTGGTTTCTCAAATAAAATCTTATCTGGACAACAATCATTATACTTATAACAATCAGAGTCACAAAAACACGGTGCACATCGGTAATTAGATTCACCCCAAAACAACTTTTTAAATCGTTCCGAGCATGAACTTTTACAGTATTGACCTTCCAGGTCCATCGCCTGGGATTCAAAATCTTGGTATTTTCCATTCACAAAATCAAATGGACCAGATATATAAAATGGCTGTGCTGTTTCTTGTCCCACAACCGCCTTAATGGAACAAAACAAAATCCAAAAGACCGAAAACGTTTGCATTTTGCTATTAGATATGTAACTGTCAATCACGTTGTGGCCAGTGGTTTTTGTGATATATTTGAGTTCCTGTTGTGAATTAGTCACACACTAAATATTAATAACATTGTTAGCGTTTAAAAGGAAATTATGCTCAGAGAGGAAGTTTTTACCATCAAACCACTACACTATTACTAGGATCTCGTGATTCAGTTTTTTTTTAAAATCAGTTTTGTGTGTCTCTCAACTAATTAACACAAGAATGAGACTAAGAGAACTCAAATCAGATGTAAGCTAATTACTCATTACATCTTTTCACAATCTAGGTCAATATTTCAGCGGCAGAATCACCATAGCTGTATATAACGTCTTTAGAGAAGATTTTTTTCACGTGATAAAAAACTTGGAGAACTTTCAGATTCATAAACACATCAAAATCACGATAAATCTTATATCTAAGACCACCTTTACTTATAATAATATTTACACAGAAGACATGTTTACACTTGATAATCCAGAATAGATCTAAAAATAAACCACCGAAAGATGAGAGGCAAGTCTAATTAAGTTGAAGTGTATAGTATATACCAAAAGGTTTGATGAATAATATTGTCTCTTACCACTATATAAATTCATATTAATCAAGCTATCCTTAAATTATTTAGAGAACGTGTCGTGTGACCTCCACCATTTCTCCTTAGGGTTGAAATAAAATGGGTTGGATAACGGACCAATTCGTATAATGTTTACTCAAGTCACGGTTCGTTCGTCTGACACATTAACAGTCTTTCATATAAAAAGTTGTTATATTCAACAATCATTCAATAGTAGAGTATCGATAGGTCAATAAATCACTGAAAGAAAAATTAGTATCATATTAGTCATTTCCACCTTAATTCTAAGTCAGTCATATTAAAATTAAACCAAACTTTCGTTCCATACTTTACTAGCTCTTATTTTAATTTTGCCATTTTAGTTAAGGTTTAAAGACGACCTTCTTAAACATTTGTTGGTTTGATGATACCGCTAGCCAATACAAATCGCTGCATTTACATACTTCCATGATACAAAAAATGTACTTATTGCAGTCAATGTAATAGACAGAGTAATAGCTTGACATTGTGAAGATTATTTCCGAGATTAGTCAGTGAGATTAGAAATGCCCCAAACAATATGTAGGAGAAACTAAGAATAATTTACGAACTCGCTTTAATGCTCATAGGTCAGACATCAAATTAAAGAAAGACAAGCCTGTTTCTAATCATTTCAACCTCGACGACCATTCAATAGATGATCTCGCCCTAATCCCAATTGAGCGTAATAATTATGAAAGAAACCAAATGCTTTCCTATGTTAAAAATAAATCGACATTGCAATAGTCTGAATAAGATAGCAATTGAATTTTCAAGGACTCTTCTAGACACCTGATACCATTTTTCATTATGGGATACTTACTGACTTATGATTGATATACTTCCTCATGTGAAAAGTTCATGAGCTGCTACTAATGTTTCGCCAAAATGTTGTTTTGGATTGTGGGTTTCGATTTGCGGTTCGGATCGTTTGTTGTTGTTTTTTATTTGTATACTACACTACAAATAGTAGCCATCGGCTGCTCATATTCTACTTTCTATATCACAAATTGGATGTGGTCGTGAACCTGAGCCGTTGGAAATTTTCAATTAAATTTTCAATATGAGTGGTTCGTACATGTCAACTACAAAGATTGATGGTGATGGTGATACTACTCCATTGATTGGAGCGCCCTTCCCCCAACTCCCTTAACTATAGCAGTGATTGTAGTACAGATTCAGATAACGATTGCTTTGAAGTACATGTAATTTCACTAATATATTTCAATTGCTTTATCTAGTCCTCCATCATTTACGGTCATCATAAACCACTTTTCCATTCATTGTCATCAGATAGTTTACGATATTGTAAACTTGAAGGTCCTGATGGCTTTTCACCAGAACATTTCAATTCACAAGATCAGATGAATTATCACTCAGGATTTCAGATGTCACGGTTCCTTAAAAAATATTATTTCGTGACGTGACGTAAAATGTGACGCTCTCTAATTCTTCCTTACTTGTTCTCCTTATACAAATCAACAATTCTCTAGAACTGATTCGGCTGTGACAGATTTCGTCTCCCAAATAGTAAAACATGGAATATATCTTTAAATTACCTTTAATACGACACGTACCAGGTATCTGTAATTAATTCAAAACTTTACATACCTGCTTATCATCACAGAGGGCACCAACTTTCAGAGTGAATCCAATCATGACAGCAGCTACTATGTGTCTATCGTAACTAAATTGACAAACAGTTCTCTGATATCACTCTATAATGAGTATATGACATTATTGTTATAATAACCTATAATGAAAAATGAATCGTAAAAGTGAAAAATGGTTTCGATAAAGTGTATAATTGTTTACATCTAGTTCTGCTGTCATAATGTAATTGATCTCTCACAATGGTGTTTCAATCATTATGTCTGGTTAATTGTGAAAATCAGACGTGTGCGTGTAGGCTACTAAATGTAATATCAGCTAACGTTATATTGAGAAATCCATACAATCACCAATGTTTTTATATTCAAACTATCTGTTTATACTTCCACATTGTATGTAGGTGTGTACAAAATTTCGTGTCATGGTCCATGGTCCATCTTCACAATGTCAAGCTATTCTTGTATCGCGGAAGTTTGTAAATGCAGTGATTTCGTTGGATTGTAGCGAATACAGCGAATCAAAGTCCTCAACAGAAACTTTGTAAACTATAAGCCATAATGTTTAAAATCTGTCTGTAGAGGGCTATGATTGACAGAGTTCGCTGGCGTACAATCCGATCATATCGCTGCATTCCATAATACAAGAAAGGTGGCTTTAAGTTCGCTAAACCTTTACCATTGTGAAGATGGCCAAGCTCACGAGGTTGTATTAACAGACTGAGTTGGTCGAATTGTCAAATGAGTCATCGATAGTATTAAAGGGACAGATGCACCATTTTGTTTCGACCAATTATACTTTTATCCCAGAAACGGGACTTTCGTTTTGCTAAACCAATCAGTAATAGTAACTACCCCCCACCCCCAAAATGCCGGATCTGCCCCTTTAATCTTAGGTGTAATAACATAATCGATAATCTAGGTCGAAAACGAAGAACCAAATCGTAACCAGCCACGTATACCTTTGTTATGTCGCTGCACATTTTGATCGAACCTGTACCTTGAAATCGCTTTTTCATTTTTCAACTATGTCAATTATCTCACACCGTAATTCGCATAGTGTACCAAATTTTATTTGTTGTAACCAACTTATACCACAATAATAAACTACCATGATTGTTGAGTATATTAAATATTGTAAAATTACGATAAAAACCTTGATCAATTAATTGATGATAGAGAGATATAAACAGCTTAATTGAATGTAACAGTCCTAATGTTAAATCAATCACTTTTTTCTACTATCTTTTTCTGATGCCATACTATGGTTTTGTTCGATGTCGTCCTACGCAAGTCATTAAATTTATTATTCTCAGATATTCTACCGACTTGTTTAGAGATGCAGAAGAACAGACATTGATAGGAGTACCAGTATCAGAAATATGAGACAAAAAGACACTGGACTTTTTATTAACATTACAGCCTATGGTATGGTATAGTCCTTATGTAAAATCAAACACTTTATTCACAATTGGTTTCTATTATGTTTTTCTATGATGCCATAATGTTTTTAGATGATGAAGTTCGATTTTGTCCTTCGCAGTAGGTCATCATCATTTGTATTCGTGGACTTTCTACAGGCATCATTCAGACTTTATTTGAAAGCGTTTGTAAAAACAATATGTTACTGAAAATACAAAAGTACAGACCCGAGGAGAAAATACAGATAGGTGCAGAAGCAAAGAAATACGAGTATCAGAGGTATGAGACAAAAAGACACCAGACTTTTTATAAACAATACTGTCTATGGTATGGTTCTTACAAATTACAGTTTGAATGGAAGTCGGAATGTCCCGACCCGGCTTTCGTAGAATCCGATAGAGTAAATAAGTAAAAAAGAAATCGTAAAAAATAGATCTCACATTGATTGTCTTTAAGACCCTTCCTTCTTTGAAATACTTATACTTACATTCTTACAATACAAAGTATATGCCTGTAGTAAATGATCTTCACATCAGTACAAAAACATCATGCTCAGAAGTACTAATTAAAAACTCATCTATTCTATTCTATTTTTAACCCTGTCATGATTAACGTATACCTCATCATACAGTTTCTAATATCCATGATTAGATTTATGTGTTCTTAGATTGTTGAAGCTTCCCGCATCGTCATAGAAAGTAGGATTGTGTGGGTTTTAACTAGTAATGTGTTAGGAGCTTGAAACCCGTCGACAACCAAAGGCAGAATCCGTGAATATCTCGTGAAATATTAAGTTCAGATTTGATTTACCTGAATATAACTATGGTTGATTTGATTTAAAATATGATGCGAAATCACTATATAAACATTCTCACTTCATCAACATTCAATAATTTCACTCAAGAATAAATCGTACCGATTGGCTCCTTTGTAGTCTATTAACTTAAATGTAAATACTAGTTACCTCCCTTTAAACCTTCGTGATTTACATTAGAATTAAACTTTACTGAACAATTTGCTGGGATTTTGCTGTAGTATTTTTTACCCCTTCCAGTTTGCTTCTGATGAACAAGTTTCAGGAGTGTTAAAACTAAGAAAGGGCACGATGATGTAAGTCAAAATGAAAATTGAATTTCATTTCACCACGGGCGTATCTTGAAAACTCCTGAAAAGAGGGATTGAGACAACCGATTTAAGATGGCCCGAGATGCACTTTTAGCATTTAATGTGCCTAATTTCCACTTCAAAATAAAACCTTTCACAGGCCTGAGAAGGTGGGAAGGGGTACCGCTGATCTTCACCTGTTTATTGAGAGAGACTGCTATTGTCAATTGGTGCCAAGCATTTTTTATTAAAATCATTAACATGCATGGGTTCGTATTTACGTCGAAATATTTCTCGAAATATTCGTGTTCCAGATACCTTTGTAATGGATGTTAAAGAGGGTATTCTTCTATAGAAGCACAGGCCTAGGACACCATTATAGTACATCTGTGCTTTCTTTTTCGTACAGAAGGTTAAGTGTAAGTGCTAGGAGCCTTGGCTCAGCCTTCTAGTAGTTTTTCATCAACTCCTGTCCATAAGCAGGCATCAATCTATCTACACTGAATTTGATCGGACAGTTACACCCAAAAGAGGCTGTCATATTGTTTTACTTTAGGTTTTGATAACCGACAATTTCGGAAATGGATTTTATATGACACGCTCTGATTGGTTGAAAATACATTCATTTGATATAAAACTGCTGAAGACCAAATTTATCAGAAAAAAAAAGATACGCAATTTGAATAAGTTAGATCTTCACTTACTTACCAGAAAAAAATGAAATGGAGAACACAATGTTAATTTATTTATTCAAATAATTATTGTCAAAATAATACAAATAAATACAACCATCAACAAAATACAAAACAGTTTCACAACCACGTGATATTAATCAGGCACACAGAAAAATAGGCACATTATTCACAAAATACCGTCGATGAAAAAATGAATGTCGAATAATTATGTAAATAATGAATAGCTTGAATCTAGACGACTACATGACTTTAGGACTATCATTAAAGGGATTCTAAAGACGTTTTCTTAATTTTTTTATGTGTATCGGGGAAAATAAATTCAAATCGGGGACACTGATAGCATCAATTCGCACCATTCCAAATTTCAAACAGACGTCTGTGGTTCCTGCAATTCCTCTAAAACAAAGTGTTTGATGACGTCACTAACCTCAAAATATACTTTATCACATAAAGTGACGCAACCAAACACTGAGTTGATTGTTTAAGTCTGATTGAAAATTGTACTTGAGCAAATTGATGCCATCAGTGTCCCCGATACACAACCAGATTTTAGAAATCCTCTTTACAATCCCTTTAAGTTAAAGAATAATGAAGCACGTCTGTGTAGCTACACGAAAGATGAGAAAAGCAGACCGGGATATAAAATTGACCATTAAATTCAAATAAATAATTGAGGAGAATAAAAAATCTTACAGACAAATATATCAGGGTAATTATAAGTTATTAATGTTTCTGACATACAATTAAATGAATTATTTAGTATATTTCCACCAGTTGTCTGGTCTACTGACCTTCTCGGTTTCAATACTAAATAAATCTTCAGATCAGAAACATATTATTCATAAAGTTAAACCCACCAACCGTCACGTGGCTATTGGTCCGCTACAAACTACGACATGCGTGGACAATAGTATGTGCAATTTTCACCAGGTATATAAAGAAAACAGATACATTTAGTTGCTTTGGGTGATCAACTGAATTAAGAATTACCATATTGGTTTGCTCCACTTGCGTTGACAAGTATTACTGATGTACTAAAGCGAAGTGTCTTGAAGTTGGTCGCAGAACTGTAGGTGCTTCCATATAGTTCAGTGTGACCTTCCGTTAAAGAAAGAGTCTGTTCTTGCTTTAGAATAAAGGAATTGTTAAAAACAATCATGTCTCCCTATGGTACACAGACAAACAGTTGTTTACATGGTAAAATCATTCTTGGTGTTTCCATACATGCCAATGTAAATGTCATTATTAAATGAACTTATTTTGCTTATAACTTTAAACATCTAGTTCAAACATTTCAGTCTAGTTAAAATTAAACCAAACTTTCGTTCGGCTTTCTTATAGCCTTTTATTCTTGGGATAGCCACTTCAGTTAGGGTCTAACGACAGCCCTCGTACTTTCCTCAAACTAACCTTATAACCTAACGCGATGACGTCTGCTTTAGTAAATCAAATGTCCACCCTCTCCAGCGCTGGTGTTTTGTGACGCTGTTATTAGGTTAGTTCCAAAGGTAAATTTGACGAACGTTCAAGAGGATTGTCGTTAGATCCTAACTGAAATGGCTATATTAAAAATAAAAGCTAATAAAAAACGTAACGAAAGTTTGATCTACTTTTAATCACACTTCAATCATTTTAATATACCAAGTAAATCGGTGCACTTCCCTACTCAAAATAGTATAAACAAATAGATATCAAAGTCTCTCATGGAAGCTAATATGAATCATAAAATATAATATTGTGAACATGTACGATAATGAAATTGAAATAATAACATCATATGCTTAAAGAATGATACTGACAAAAATATATACATAATAGTATTCACAACCAACGTATCTAATTCGTTGAAGTCTTCATTTGTTTTCAGCCATTGCACAGGTCTTTAACCACGTACAACTGTGCAAAAGATACAGGCAACCACATCAACATTAAATGTTTATCATCAAATTGGTAATTCACTTCTGGCATCTTATCGTTATCGTTGATAACGTCGGCCAGCTTAACTTAAGAAAATTTTTTCCTTAATATCACCAACCATGCATGCATGACTTACGTAATATAGATTTAAAATGCAATCCACGCCAATACATTTATAGATTCGCTCTAAAATAACTAGATTGATCTCTTGTAACATTTGTACCTAACCACAGCATTTAAGTCGACGTGTAGCATATTTCTAACAATTGCTTACAGTAACCATCTCAAATCCTTTGCTTTTGTTTCATGCTCCATGACGTAGGTCAGTGCTTTTTTTGAGAATGCTATTTTCATCTCATTCTCAGACAAAAGGGTCCAGATTACTGCACATGTCTGCAACTATGAAGGCAGTGTCAGTATAAATGTCAACAGCGCATCACCATCTTCATTGTAAAGATGATTAATAACGGGCTTTATAAACCCAAGGATTCAGTTATTTAGCACATTGTGCAAAAACCGAAGATCACGAGAATATGAATATATCAAATATGAACTATGTAACTATCTATATACACCATATTTGATTACAATGTTATAAGCAGGAATGTTTTCAAATACAAGTTTTTGATACGAGTTCTTTACGTTAATATAAATAATAGACTTTCGCAGCGCTCGGAGTTCCAAAGGCATTTTAATAATAAGAATTAAAGGGAGATAATTCAAATATTATTTAAAGAAAATCAATAAAAAACACTTCCATTTCAAGGCCCATACAGCTTTTCACACGATTTCGACATTGGGTCCTTTTTGAATATTTTGTTGAGTAATTGTTTACTGCGACTATAACAGCTATGGTCGTGGTCGGATGCAGAGGCTTTGTGTTTCTTACGTCTGATCTGCGTCAAGATTCCGACTAAAAGTTCATCGACATTATGATTTAGCACAACCGACGTTTCGACAAATTTACAGTCGTACATGGTCGCCACACTTTTTGATTCTGAAATATACAAAGTACAAACATTTAGTTAACAAAACAAAGACTTCATCAGAGTTTAGTTCACAATATACCTATATTATGATGTAATATTAATTAAGAATATTTTTGGCTTCAAAACCCTTCTATAATATGTGAATATTAGCCATAGAAGTTTCTGTTCTGTAATATACAGCCTTATTTTACTCCACACAGCACTTTTCAGAAATAAAAAAATCAAATTGTGTTTCTAACATGCCATTTCACGTCTGAAAACAAACTGTTCTTTTTAAAATAACTTCAGATTCGTGCCATGTGAAAAAATGGACATGTTTTATCTCAGTTGAAAATACAGCGATATATCTTTAAATTTCCTGTTTACACGAGGTTAATAATGAAGCATAAATGCAACTGGAAAGATAACTTAAACAAATAAGAGAACTATAAAATCAAATTCCGACTGTAGCCTGGTAATTGAAATTTCATTGGAACGGCCGTGAGGAAGATTACGATAGTTTCAGTGTGGGAGTATTATCATATCTGTTTACAATTTTCATGCAGTTGAAATCAAAGTGATATAGATCAAAGGCCGTAATTATATAACACTGTTGTAGGTGGTAGGATTATAGTTACAACTTTCAGACTAATTTAACTTTCATCTTCTATATTGATTTCTCGGGAAGCTGATAAAAAGGGCATCAGGTGCAATCGTAAAGGACAAATTCATATATTGCGTTCAGATTGGCTGTGAAGATAAATATCACACTGAGACCAAAGAATAGTCTATTCATCCTCATTGACCGAGACTAGATTAATGTTAATCATCAGATGTTAATTTTGAATTACTGACATCCACTATTTAATATTTTGATAAGAATTCATAATTTCAGTACGCTAGGTTCATATTTAAAATTGAACTACATAGCAGTTGTATAAACATTCATTATATGACCATCCTGTAACTTAGACAGAATATTTTTATTGTGTGATGTTGATCCAGGTATCTGAACAACTGAAGGAGGATTAGAAATAACGTGGGAGATAAAACGAATTATAGACTGAAACTAAACAAGATAGAGTTGTTGAGAAAAACAACTCTTTTCGACCACATATAAATCGTATTAAAGGTTCTGAAGGTCGTATCAATATCGTAAGATTAAAGGCAGACTTAATGACAAATTGCTGTTTTCTATATAACTCAATCCAACTCGGGTTAGTAAATTCTATTGATGATTTTGATCATCAACTTGTCTCAAAGCTATTTAGTCTTGATCATCAAGTCTTTTGAACTGACATGAATGGAATTTTACGTCCCACTTTTCAGCACCTTATAGTGCTAATGAAGACGGACAACGCCAGGACAGTGGCGCCTTTTCCATTCCAACCCCACCGACCTGCATCACAGACAAGAGAAAACCGAGTTAAAATCTTAACGCAAAATTTTCAGCTACTCGCTTAATGCATTTTCTGGCTTTACACCAGCTAATCATTTGTAAAAGAGTTTTAAGCAAAGATGGTCTGTGTGCCCTTGTACTATAATGTTAGCTGAAAGACTTCCAAATGACAGCCTTCATCCATGACTCAATAGCTACTCCCTCTAACTGTCTCTTGCTTTAATCTCAGTTCTTTTTATAGAAGTAATTCGATTTCAGATACTTGTATATACAGCTTTGTAGACTGGATATCAGATGGCGATGTCTATGTTCTATGAGATAGCTAGTGTGGCTATAGTCTTTTAAATGGACCCAATATTCCAGCTGATATCAATCAATCAATAAGGTTGGTGTGTGCGGGACTACACATATAGAGAACCATTCATAGCAAGATTTCTAACTTCATTGAAATGTCTAAATATATCATCTTAATCCATTTCAGTCCTCCGGACGTTTCATAAAATGGTCAAATTGCAGATACATCAAACCAGTCAGTGTGGGGATACAAGGGTGGCAGTGGCGAATTCAAAAGGGTGGGGGAAGGGGGCAGCCGTGAAAACAAGTTTTTCGGGCAAAAAATCTCATAACTAGGTTAGAAATTCGGTCAATCTGAGATATTTCGTCCCCATCGGACGTAAAACTGACTCCGCCACTGAGGGGTGGGAGAGACATGTACTCCCCTTCCACATTTGTGACGCCACCGCTGCAACCAGCAAAAGTCTTGACGAGTTTTAGACTACAACCTACTCTATCCTTTTTGCCGACAATTTGAAATCGACGACCGAAGACGATTGATCAGTTTGTAAAGAAGGATTTAGTTGGCAGCGGCGTCTGAAGATGTCTCAAGTTGATGAGTATTAATGTTTTATCTGCTGATAGTTGAGAAAGCTGTAATTACTAAATGGTTAAGACAGTTAAAAGGTTTTCGATAGTAACAGCTGAGAACGGTTTAATCTGAAGAGTCTTGCTGAAGATAATCCGTGTAAAAGACATTGAGGTGATGGCTCGCAATTTTTGTAAGACACTTTTATAATACATTGATGAGATGTCTTGTTTTGTATATGTAGAAAACAATGTTACTTTAACGAGTGAATCCTTATAATCTGATTTTTGACTTTCAGCCACGAAGGCAATACACGTGGCAATAGGCGAAAGTCTGAAGAAATCTTTTACACACGAAGATGCCTTAGTATAACTAGATGATATGCAGTATGAAACTTCCATCGAAGCGCTGTTTCCATATTATCTGTGTGACTTGAAAATCCTTATTAGTTTGAACCAAACAAAATTTGCTCAAACGAGGTATATTATCGTCTATCAAAGTTTGATGTAATGATGACTGAATAAAATTTAAGAAAGGGAGGTCTCTCAATATCCGGTTAAGCGAATGACGAAAGTTAAACTGTTTGTATCGATTTTCAGAGAATAATCTCTTAGTTCTGTCAAATGTTTCTATCAAATGTTACAGTTGAAAGCATGGGGTCTATATTCCCGTGGATACCATAGGCTTAAAATGGACGTGCGGGTTGATCGAAAAGGCTCAAAGTGTATATCAAGGCAGTGGAAGCGTAGACGGTTGAAAGATAGATTAACGACTGCACGGTGACGTGGGTTTGAACCCTCATCTAGGTAAGAAAAATCTGATACCACGCCTAGTGCTTCAGAAAAATTGGTCCGGTGTCGAGTGTCGGCATTTAAATTTATATCACAATGCCTTTCAAAGTATGATTAATGACATTCTATCGATTACTCTATCGAAGCACCAGACAGTACGATCAGACTATCCGGACTACCCGACAGACGGGGTGAATGAACAAACATATATAATACTACGATAGTTTATCGACCAAACATCACACGATTTTAATTTGAGTTTTAAGGATTCTTTGCTCGAGGTGAAAGGAAGTAGTATTGACGCGATGACGTCTTGAATGATACATGCCAATCTATAGAAACCATGACAATGTCCATTTTGATGGTATTCTTAAAATCTTTGTCAATACTTAAATCATTTCTATCTGAAAAAAACTTATGGGATTTCAAATGGCACGTTTGTTTAAGACCCGTTCCTTGAACTACAGAAACCAGTCAACGTTTGACACCTGTCGTGAACGACCGTAAACTGAACTTATACTGTCGAACGCCAGTTTTGATGGTCAAGTTTGAAATTGAAGACTTAAAATAAATTTTCAGTGTGTATCGGGGACACTGATAGCATCAATTTGAAACAATATTTGTCAATATTTAATCAGACGTCAGTGGTTCCCGCAGTTTCACTACAAGTAAGTGTTTGATAGCGTCACTAATAGCAAAATATGCTTTATCGCATAAGACCTTTCGCGATTAGTGACGTCATCAAACACTTATTTTTAATGGAATTGCAGAAACCATAGACGTTTGATTGAAAATTTGAATTGTGCAAATTAATGCTTCTAGTGAAATCGATACACAAATAAAATTAGAAACCTTCTTTACAATCCCTATATTTCAAGCGTCAAGAAATTTAATTGGATTGTACGCTATCGAATGCACCCAATCAGGACTGTTAACTATTGGAGAGTTCAGAGTAGGGACCACATAATTGTAGAGAGGGGCTCACATGCGCATGCATATTCTTACTCTATGAACAATGGTAAGCAATTTGAAAATGGGGGTTGGGTGGGGGTTGGGGCAACGTACAAACGCAAGTATGGCATCAGCGATAAACAAGAGTCAATGTCTACACACCTTCTATTGTTACAGTTCTTGTTCTTACTAAATCACATTTATTACCCACTAACAATACTGCTATACCACTTTCATTCCTTTTCTTCAGTTCAAATAAAATATCAGTCGCTCGTTCAAAACTTGGTCTGTCATCGATAGAAAACACCGTCACGTAGGCATCTATTGTAGTTTCAGCAGTCCAATCCTGTAAAAAAAGAGGGACATGAAATAGCCTACTGATTTATTTCTTACTGGTCGACAGTTATCTGAGCTTATGGAATGGATTGTCAAGCACTTCTATTTTGTACAGATAGGCAAAAAATTGGATAAGTGAAATTAAGGACTGTTCAGATAACTTCAGGCTTAGAATGCATGGGACAGTTTAAAAGTATTAAAGGCATTGCAAAGCGTTGTGTATCGTGGACATCAATTTACGCAACTCCGATGTCTAACCAGACGTTTGTGGATTCCACAATTTAACTAAACCATGTGCGTTTTGACGTTACTATCGATGAACAGCTTTTGTAATGTTGACGGCATATATACGGTTAGGCATTTCAATAATTACAGGAACAACAGATCTTTACGGTTAATTCTATGATTACAAGAACTTCAGAAATCTGACGGAAAATGAAATACAATTGAATTTGAATCATGCCATACTTAAGACAGATGATATTTCAATGTATTTTGACTCGTCGTCGACGCTAAATGGATGGTCTCGTGTTGTGCAGAGGACAACAACTTGCGTTTTAATCAAGACTTCTGATATGAGTTATTTTATGACTTAAATCTCCATGAATTTTGAATAGAATTTGAATTCACGTAGCTTATATAAAAATCAATTTGAAGCATAAGTTCTATAATAAATTATAAAATTTTACAAAATTTTTATTATCATCTCTCACCCTGTCTAAAAAAAGATTGGCGTTGTTGAACGTACAGGTAAATGATCAATATTAAGGTAATACTAATATTTACCCGGGTAAAGGATAGAGGAATGCAACTTTAAAGACTTCACGAATGTGTTGGCACAGAAGTTTACCAGAACACAGATTGTTAGTAATAAAGTCAATCTGGCAGGCTTGATGTTTATTTATTATCTTCAAAATGAATTAAATATTTTAATGGCTATTAAAATTGCACAGAAATCTTTACGTTTAAAAATAAAAATAACTGAACTTTTTATATTTGAAATCAAGTTAATCTGACGACATGTTATTTTTGTGTTTTTAAATGAAATACTAATGAAATTTGTCATATCGGTATGATGTTAAACAGAGTTTAAGGAAGATTGCCAATCACCAGGCTGGTATACAAATGACATATATAATCGTATGATAGTTAAAGTTTTCAACGAAAGTTGTAAATAGTTTTCTTCACAGAAATTACACCACATTTATGTAAATAAAAAATTATACAGCAAAGAATCCCCACCGAAATTGGCTATTTATAGAGCCCCGTCATCATGTTTTTGATCCAATTTGAACCAATCTAACTACCAACTACTACGATTACCAACAACTACCTAGTTTGCGATATCAGCATCCGCTGGAAGCGAACGTTAACTTGTCATCTACCAATCAACCAGCCATGTTTTGGATTATTAAAACATTGAATAATCCTCATAGAATTCAAAACACTGCATGGCGTTGTCCTTTTTATAAAGCCCAATCAGATGCAGAAAAGTAAGACGTAAAAATCCTTTGATTTCATTTCCAAACAATAAATGAATCGTGAGAATTAACTGATCGGCTGGCGTTTCAAACTCAGACCAGAATTCATTATGAAAGGCGAACAACTTTCCTACACAAACGAACGTGTTCACCTACAACTCGCCAGCAAATCCTGCTACCTACTCTAAAGTCAGTTTATTATGTGCAGTAAGTGATTAGACTGTAATTATGAAGGAGTTACATGGTCGTTGCAATTATTTGTTTAAAAAACAAGTCATTTATAGAGTTGAATAGGACGTTTTATCATTTCCATCATTTCAAGTTAAACTATTTTTGGAGAAATATAATAAGTGGTGATATTATGTTGTTTTCGCATTTGATAGAAAATTAGATTTCTGCTTTCAATTTATCACCCAGATCATACTGAAATTAAACGTAATAAAAAATAGTCGAATGTACTTAGTAGACGAGTTTGACTTTTCTTTTGCAAATTAAACCAGTCATATCTGTTACAATTGTTGAGAAAAACTACGGAAAATGCACAAGATTTATTTTTGGTAGAAATTTGGCTACATATAACTATCTAACAGTTGAACAGCGAAGATGTTTTTAAACATCTGAAGTAATAGATAACTAAAGTGTGTCTGCGAGTATCAAGAGTAAGGAATTTGACACACAATGTTACAAAGCAAAGTTATGGAACATATTTTGCAGGAATGTCTTAATAGATTAACTGTCGAGGGATCTTTAACGTGCACAGCCTGTAGCACACGAGGCCTCGTCCCATCCGAACGACTAGACGCTTTTTCCATGTCAGCCCCTCTTACCTGCATCACTGACAGGGGGAAACCGGGTTGAAAAATCCGAAGGTATTATCTCGACCTATGCCGGGATTGAACCCTGGACCTTCAGGTTAGCGAGCAAACGTCTAACTCACTGAGCCACCGCGGCTCCCCTTAATAGATTATAAGGAAAGTATATAATTACTTATGTTGAATAGCAAAAATATAATAGATTATAAGGAAAGTATATAATTACATATGTTGAATAGCAAAAATATGTTTGAATACGTTATGGGGAAAGTATGACACTATTGTTAAGAAAAAGTGTGCACGGTTACCTAATAATTTGTTGAAACCGATTTGGCTTATGACGATGTCATGCAGTGTTCAATGGAAACATTTTGAGAGGCAGCATTAGCACAATCATTTACGATTTCCAACCGTGATGGAGTCTTTAACTTGCACAGCCTGTAGCATTTGAGTGCCTACTCGGTTTAAAACCCCATTTTAACGACTAAACGATTTTTGGATGTTAGCCACATTCAAGAATAATTCAAAATACAAATTCCAATGTCTACTTTTTTTAAAATGAACATATTGTTAGTCGAGCATGGAAAATTTCAAAAACTGTTAATTTGAAGGTATGTAATATTATCTTGTCAGTTATGAAATGTATCTGTGTCTGAATTTCGTATCAACTGTGAGAGGAAACAGATTAATCAAGGGAGTGCATCGCCAACGCAAACTGTCATTGTAAATTTCAACATACCGTATCTGGATCAGGATCAATGAAATCTAAGGATGATTCTTCACCATCTAAACTGACAGAAACACACGATCCAGGTTCACCGTCTGAAAAAATAAAAGAAGTTAAATCATTATTACAATAATTATTGTTAATTTGTAGGTGTAAAAAAAGAAATACAGATTTTTTTATCTAATGAAATCTTTAAGTGTCATTAAATGATGATTAAAACCTACGTTTTGATATTTTTGCCTTTTAATTCCATTTTGTGCAAAGAAAGTTCAATGACACTACTGTTATTACTAATATAAGATACACCAATTGCCATGACATTTCTGTCGCACAGCTGTTATAAAAACAGCAAACTGTGAAACAAATTTCGCTCAAATTAGTGCTGAGAATGAACATGTATTGTGTTTTGTTCGAACAACCTTACAAATATAATTCGGTGAAACATCCCATTTAAAATGAATATTAAGTAAAATACTGCGGTGGAAAGATTTGAAAGGAAATCGCCAGAGGGTAGAAACTACCATACAGCAAATAATTGATATGATTATGTCCCTTTACATTTCTCCATTTATATATGAGAATTGTGCCTGGAGGTGTCTGTACACTCTCTCATATTATTGATGATAGTTGAGGAGGCACTTAATGGCACTTTTCATACTTTTCATCATGTTCAAGCACCTGCTGTTCTTGGTAGGAAACAACGTCGATATTTTACGTGTGTCTCATATAGATTCAACCGCCTTCAATATAGTACAATTTTTTTTTATAAACTTGGGAGAAATTTAAGGAATCGAACCTGGGGGAATACTCATCATAATATGTCTTATAAATACGCTAGCCGAAATAAGACAGAGGTTTACGTTCTACCTTTCTATGGGGCTAATGAAAACCGAAATAAACCAGTAATATAATCGTATTAACTGCAGTTTTTGTTCCCGTAAGACGAGTGGAATCGGTATTAAATATCTGTATTTAGACACCAGAGCTTCATTAAACACTTCACTTTTCAAATTCTAGTAATTTTAACGTTATCTGTGATAAACATGGACAAACATGGACTAGACTTATTCTACTGATTGAAAAATCGCATTCATTTTGGAAAGCTGGAATCATAATGAAACTAACAAATTGTGAAAAAATTGTGTTGTAGAGCCAAAGGTATTTATGCTGCACCAATTCTTTAATGTCCTTCACTTCTGATTGGACTGGCCTCTGCTTAGGAATTCGACCCCTGACTTTGTGGCTACAAGACGACAATGTGACCGATTTTTCTGTTGGTGGCATCAGACTTCGGCTTGAAATGACCTCGAGCAGAAAAGACGTCATGTAGTTAAACAAATATATATAAATATATATTATTATTTCATATTGGCCCTCAGGATTATGTTTAATATTGTTTTCGTAACATCATAATTGTGAGACAATTTGTTGCAATTACATAGCATTTATATTGTTTGGTATATCAAAAACTGACAGAAAAAGACAAACGCATTCAAGAATTAACTTTCCTTTATTGTTAACTCATATGAAATGATAACGTCTACCTTATAAGACAGAATATTATTCTTAACGCTAGGAATACAGATGAAAGTTTTTTTTTGTAATTCGTATCAAGAATCCCCTTCAAGACAAAGCTACATTACACTTAAATTACACTCAGACATGAAACCATAAAACCTTTCTAAGTAAAATAAATACATTATATCCATATCTGTATAATTACCAAATAAAAGGAACCATAGAAATTATGTGGATTTTTTTTTTATATTAGCCAATAAGAACGAAGTCAGTGAGGAAACGTCCGATGACAAGTCGTAAATCTTAAAGTAAAAAAAAGATATTTATGTCCACGTCATCCTAATATTACAGAAACCCTAGATAATCCAAGTCTAAAAATGTAAGATCTAATTAATAATATAAGGATTAAGACAGCCCACAAGGACATCGTATATGTAATATATATCAATGGAAGCAATATTATTAGATCATTAGTGTAAGTCAGTTCAGTATAGAGTATACTTAAAGAGTATAATAGCTAGTTACTTAATAACTTTATATAACTATAACAATATCACTAATGAACATTAGCACTGTGACTGACACTGTGAAGTTATTGTTTTTTTCAATCCGGTTTTCCCATGTCAATGATCCAGGTCGGAGGGGTTAACATGGACAAAGCGACACGTCGTTCGGATGTGGCTTTCAAATGAGGCATTTGCTACAAGCTTAACACGTTAAAGTTTCCTCGATAGTCGGAAATTGAAAGAGAATAGACTAATACTATGTCGTGGCAAACAGTCACTCATTGCACATGCAATTAATGGCGATGTCGGTCTCCTTATGCTCAATTAGCTGCAAAGTAAGACCTAAACTGTATTTCATTTTATTTTCTAAACATCAGTAACTGTGAAATTTCACTTTGCAGAATACAATATTACAGGTGCGCCTTTAATGAAAAAACAATGTCGGTTAGAGAACTGCACTAAATGACTCACACATCATTATACTAGTCTCAAAGTGTGATAAATAACATAAAAAATGAGATGAACAAAACATAATAATTATTTCGAAGCTCTAATAATGTAATTCAAAAGTGACAGAGGACATTCGATATTTTGTAAGAAGTTAGAACAATAAATGCAGAACTTTGATAAAGATTTTACGGAGAATAATATACTGTTCATGCTTTCGAGATCTACGACTCAATCTGTTTATAACTTAACACAAATTGTAAAGAAAATATCAAACGATTAGTTCTAAAGTTATAAGAATAGAATGTACATATAAGGATATTATGGAGGATTTACAACTTTCGCGTATTTGAAAATCAAATGCCAGTAAACGAATTTAAGGTCAATAACTCAATCTGTTTTATCTGAATACAAATCGTAAAAAAAGATCAAACTTTTTGTCGTGATGACCTACACAGCATTGGAACATTTTTTGTATTTTGTTCTTATACGTAACTGTATTAACTATATTAACTTCCGTTACGCTAACTACGGGAGAAGAGGCCTAATAGTAGCAATATTTCTCATGGAGCGTCTGACAAGGAAAGAAAATTTTCGAAAAATTGAATTGATTTGGTGCACCCTGACACAGATTTTGGGGCAAAAACGTATAAAAATTATATTTTATAATCTGTTAAACCACACTGGCACCACCAAAAGCATGTATTTGTTTGGAATTGACAACAATATTCAATAAAGTTAAATTGCACTCATTTCAGATCTAGTGAAACGCAAACCTGACATCGATATGTACATATATATAATTAATACACCAAACTGTGTAGAGTAGAATAGTAATATTATACATTACATCCTTATTCCATTCAGAGTACAATTATATAATAGATTTAGCTGGTGATATCACGCTGAAACCTACACTAATTATTGCATCATCATATCCATCAAATATTGAATGAATATCGGATCTATTGCTACTGTTGAATCTACAATAGTTTTATAGTTTCAAGTGGAGTGCGATATTTGTTTAATACGTGTGTAGAATGAGAGAATGGGAACAACGATTATATTTCATGTCATTTATCACTGCTTATCATGCAACTTCATCTGACATACAAATATTGATATGAAATGTTGAACCACTTCCATTATGAATTATTTGTGTTTGATGATCTTTCGTATATGAAAAGTTAATTTGCTGCTTATATTATTACTTTGTATTTCAGGTTTGGTTAAGGTTTAGTTCACCGTGTAGTCTTTGGGTTTTTTGTGTGTTATCGTATACCAGTAACAATAACAGCCAATGGGTCTCACTAGAGACATAGTCCAGCTATGTCCATTTTGCTGACAGCTTGGGGACAATCGACATGTACATTTTCAAATGAAAAATCCCAAGTTATACATGAACTTAGCCAAATAGCCACTCTTGGTCACGAATGACAAAGCCATATCTAATTAGATTAAGCACATTTCTCCAGTGTATTCACTAAGAATCTCTAATATCAATCAAAGACGTGACTCATTCAAAGCACTGTGACTAATCTGAGACCACACTGTGACTAATCTGTGACCACAATGTGACTTATCTGTGTCCACAATGTGACTTGTCTGAGTCCACACTGTGAATAATCTGTGACCACGATGTGACTTATCTGAGTCCACACTTTTACGTATCTGAGTCCACACTGTGACTAATCTGAGACCACACTGTGACTAATCTGTGACCACGATGTGACTTATCTGAGTCCACACTGTTACGTATTTGAGTCCACACTGTGACTAATCTGAGACCACACTGTGACCAATCTGTGGCCACACTGTGACTAATCTGAAGCCACTCTGTAACTAATCTGTGACTAATCTGTGACCATACTATGACTAATCTGTAACCACTCTGTGACGAATCTGTGACCAATCCATGACTAATCTGAGTCCAGACTGCGACTAATCTTAGACCACTCTGCGACAAATCTTTGACCACTCTGAACTCGGAAGGGCAAGTAATATATCCGGAGGGGTTATGGAGTGTGGTGTTTAGTTGCAATAGTGGAATATTTTCAGGAGGATATCCATTGTCCCGCATGCCCCGCTGTAGCTACCGGCTTTGATGAACAGGGATGTAAACGTTTGTTCTGATAAATAATTTTCACGTGTAACCCTAGGATTAAAGTATTTTCTTCCAAAAAAAATATCACCATGGTTTGAATTTGGAATTCTTGCATCGCACAGGAAACAGACAAACAATAACTGTGTCTATATTAACAAAATCTCCAGTGAGTAGCACAAAGGCATATTATAGTCAATACATATATTGATTACAAAACCTATTCATACAAAAGTCTCTAGGATTTCATTATTTCTTTCATAAAACAGAAATAGATGTTATTCTTGTCTTTCACAAGAGATGGAAAGAGGATTTTAACTAGTCTGTCTGTATGATTTTACTTAATAATTGTATCATTAGTAAGAACAAATATGTTGCTTATTATAAAAAATTCATGATCTTAGATTTCATTATTAGAAAAGTTCCCCACTATAAAAAAAAAACATTCGCATCCTTCTATTTCAATCAATATTTTCCAGAAAATGAACATACTAAATGAAATATTTACGAATTTGCTTGCAGA